GCTTTAAGAAGTTCATTTTTTGCCTCAAATAACAATGTTGGGTAGAAAAAGTGGTCTTGGTGGATCGAAATAATGTATGAACCTTCAAAATTAGAATTCCATCCTGCAGAAGTAGACCAGAAAAGTATCATGGATACCAGCTTTATCAAACATAAGAAATTGGTTTAAATCTTGATTAAATGAGGAAATTATTCAAATTAAAAATGAACTGATTCTAAAAAATCTCTGGTTTGCCACTATGCCTACAAATTTGGATTGAAATTATTGCATTTTAGATATTTGCCAGTCTTCAGCCAACTATTTAGAAAATAGGGTAAACACACCATATTCCGACACTGTGCGTAATTCCGACAACCCTAAACTTTTTCTTTTACATGAAGCTTGGACTTTGTTCCGCGCATGCATAGATGGATGAAATAGTGGCGTCATACTATTGCATGCCAGATTTCCGCAAAACATTAGGTCTAGCGGGAAAATGTTATGATCCGCAAACTCAGAGCAAAAGTCCCAAGTCAACTAGTGAGAACATCAAAACCCGTATGAAAGTTGATAGTTGACCTTGCTTTACTAAATAGCGATAAACTGTTTGTGTAGAAAGAATATTATGGTTTGAGACTTTTAAATAAGTCTGTGAATATATTAGGAATCCTTTAAGTATACTTGTATTTGCTGATTTTAAGTGGTAAATGAATTGGTAAATGATTGATTTAAGAGATGGTTTTAGACACATAAAAACTAATTCCGACACAGTGTCGGAATTCCGACACACAGCCGTGGCAAAGGGTGTCATATCCATAGTGGAATTCTATCTAGGATGAGAGCCGAGGCTCAAGAGGGCCTTATGGCCAGGGCTGGAAGGGTCCTATTTTTGTCTGAAATAGCCTATTGTGGCTCTAATATCATATAATTTCATAGATGTGAAATCTCGGGGCTCAAATGTCCTAAATTTGTTTGATTGAAAAAATTGCAGTTCGGACTTTGCAAATGTATGTCATTTCATAGAATTTTCCACTTCCGCAATCCGCATTATTTTACCGTTCCTGCCAAAATATCCTGCAGAACGTAATCATTGTAATGTAAACAAGGCAACCTAAACATTTTGTTGAAGATAGAGCATAGTTGCGGTAATGCCAGACTGCACTAACGCATGTTCAGCTTGCAGGAAAGACAAATGTTTTAGTTGCTGTTTGACTGTTTTGGGGTGGTAAAATTAGAGATTTGGGATAGCACGTGCATGGACTTTGTAAATCAATTCGTGCCTCGTAAATCAATTCGTGCTTTTCATGGCCAAAATATGGAATTCATGGCTTGAAAAAATGGAACCATGGCTCGAAAATTTCAGTCGTGGCTTGTCAAGTAGATATATTCCATGCCTGCTTATGGTGGTCCACCGCTGTGTGGCAGTCTGAACATGTCGCCACCCCTTGCCCTTGGCCCCTGGGCCCCCTTGAATTTGAACTGGAAAATTCATTAGTTACTCATGTTAGTTCCAAAAATGATATCAATGGTGTAAAAAATGACAATGACTTACTTGCATGATCATTGATTGTTCAGCCACTGCCAATGGGCCATCTTTCTAGCTCCTGAGTTCACTCCTTAGTTTCTCTTTCAACTCGTAACTCAAGATGGTCAAAACTTCAAATGCTGACAATACTGTCAATATCACAATAAGAAATTTAACTATATCGCAATTGGAAGAAATTGTTAGGCGAAAATAGCCTGCATGCCAAATTTCAGATCTCTAGAACAATCAGAAGTGGGCTAATTTTTGTTGTCAATGTTAACAACAAACAAACAAACAAACAATTGCAAAGCTAAGCTAAGAAAAACGTGTTAAAATACATATTTTTATAAAATCTTATTACTCATTCAAATTTAAAATTTCAATGATGCAATTAAATAGGCATGTTAGGGAATACTTTGAAGTCAACTACTGCTTAGAGAAATAGTTTTATTTTCAAATGCAAGTAATAAAAAAATTACAAAATTTGTGTCCATTGATAAAAGCAATATATATATCTATCTTTGTATGAAAAGAAAATAAAATATTTTTTTATTGATCTGAAACTACAAAATTGGGTGTTGCCAACATCATTATATTTCATACCTGATTGAAAAACAATTATCACACATGTATGACTTTCCTTCACAGTCACCAATGTATTTTTTTATCCTTTGAGTTTCACCTTTGCTATGGCACTTCCCTCATTTGCTGAGAGTATGTTGTAGCATTCATGGCAGCGCATCCTGGCTTTAGTTCTAGTTGGTTCAATGAAAGTGGGCTGTCCTCTGTCCCACTCGATAATTTGAGATATACATCCTGATTTTACTCTTTCTCTGAAATGCTGCTTGTAACAGAAGCTCAAGACAATATATATGATGAATGATCTCTATAATGTAAATATAACTGAACTAACAATGTAAATACCCTCAATTTTATTCAGGATTATGAAAACCTGGACACCAATCTCTTTCCATAGTAATTTCCATGCATAATATACATCGTTCACAAAAAGCTAAGAGATACCGGTAGTCATAATGTGTGCAATTATGACTCAAAACTAATGTAGATTTTTTGCACGCATCACTCACAGTGATAAAAGTGATAACTTTAGGCATTTTTCCGCAATATGAGCCATAGATGCAGGTCTTTGCTTGGTACACATTGCCCACAGTATTAGAAGTGATTACGATAGGCAGCGTGAGCCAATATGAGCCACAACAGGCATGGCTTCATTTGGTACACATCGCCAGGAATAATGACGAATTTCAACCCTGAGCGATGAGCACCAAATGCTGCCACAAATTTTACATGACACAATGACAGAACATACCCCTGCAGAGCTGCACACAACTTTTCTCCTTGCTATCTACCGGGTAACTGAAGATATACAAGTTTGAACCTATCGCCCGTACGGCATTCGGGCCAAATCAGCAATCGCGGCCAACGTGTTAAGAGAATGTGCCTAAACAGAATAGAATATAATTATCTTATTAGTTTTACATACTAAACTATAAAGTAGTTCATTTGCTTGCCGCTGCTGATGCTGCCATCTGTATGTGGGCTATTCTAGACTTGAAATATGCTTCACATCTTGTTAAATTTTATAAATTTGATAAATTCTTATTATTATTGAATATCAACAAATATAATTAATTCTATATTACTAATTACTTTTTGTATTATCTTTTTCTTTCTTCACAATCACATGTACTAGGATGCCATCGCCACCACATGTTTCCTAAAGAAATTGTCATTAGAACCTTACCTTGGCAATTTTAATTAAACCTGGAAATATGCAGATACAACTTCTATGATGAACTTGAAGCATAAGCATTACCTAATGTACAAAATTAGCAATCAATAATTCAAGGTACTTTTGTAACGACTGAAGACTTCACTACATTAAATATGTATTGACATCCCTTGGAATCAGCAGTCAGCTGTTGCAGCAGTGCGATCCATTGAGTTATTATTATTATTAAAAAAATTATTTCTCCCTCCACCCTTTCGAATTTCCCCTCCCCTTTTTTCAAAATATTTTCAAAACTTTAACGAAATTGAAAAAAAGCTTCAACCAAACTCTAGATCTTTTATTTGCAAATTGAACGGTTTATTACTCATTGCTGTTGCTTAAAAACTCTGGGAGGAAATAGGTTTGCAGTGACAATAAGTGTGAATGTTCAGTAGAGCGCAACAAAGTCCAGAGCGCCTCAAAATAGGCATTCAAGGTGACATGGATGCAAGACTAGACATTACTGGAGCCGAAATTCAGTCAAGGATAGTGGTTCTCACTATCGACACTATCCCAAAAATCATGATTTTTATAAAGAGTCAAATGATTTAATCACATGATTCAATATGTTTGATTTAATCAATGCCAACCCTCTGAGAAAGTCAATGGAAAGTTTATGTATATATATTTGACCTTCAACCTTAGTTTATGCATGTTTATTAGTGGTGCAATGACTGCCAATTATATCAAATAATGTGTTCATACTAAGTTTTCCAGAAGGCAACAGCCATCCTCAGGTTCATTGAATTTAAAGAACAAATGTTTTTTTGAGAAATGAGAATTAATTTGAATTTTCATCTAGAAGGGATGGTCATCAAATATATCCCTAAAGTGGGGTGGATTACTAAAATAATTAAATTTGCAAAGATATTTTCAACCTGCCTTTAAGCCATAACTGGCAGTCTCTGGGAACTGCAGGCCATAGGCTGGTAACCCACTTAGTCTTATCAAAAAAATCATTTAACTCAGTACTCACTGCAGTGAGTGACAGAGAGCGCATTTTCTCATCGACAAAAATGTGAAGTCACGAACAGACAGACAGATGGATGAACATAACTAGCACAATAGTGCATTTTTTCCATAAATGAGAAAATGCGCTAAGAAGGAAAAGCAAAGCAGAGATTGATTTATCCTGAGAAATACGGACTCATTATTTCCATACAAGACACTAGTGGTTCTGAAAAATTATTTCCATACATGTCACTAGTGGTTCTGAACAATTATTGCCATGCAAGACCCTAGTGGTTCTGAAAAATTATTTCCATACAATACCTTCGTGGTTCTGAAAAATTATTTCCATACCAGACCTTAGTGGCTCTGAACAATTATTTCCATACAAGACCTTAGTGGTTCTGAAAAATTATTTCCTTACAAGACCTTAGTGGTTTTGAGTTTGTCAGAACTAACTCAAGTGACTGAAAATTGTTTTCCATGATAGTTATCATCATATAATGTTTCTTGAATGTAGGTATAATGATTGTTGAGTAAATTTATGTAGCTCATAGCTTGCCAAGATATCTTATTTTTCTAATCAAGCTGTCCTGTTAGTATGAGATATCAATATCAAATATTTGTTATATAATGACATTTTGAAATTAATCCAAATGAAATCCTCCCAGACTAATAGATTTCTTGCGGAAAATTAACAATGAAATGATTTGTGAAATATTCTGGTTTCCTCATTTGTGTTGTCTCTTGTGTTAGATTTGGAAAAAAAGCCTGCCTGGCAACTATGGTCGCAAGAGGAAGACGTGGCCGGGGGCTAATAAGGCCTTCACTAAGCAGCAGCCAAGGGACTGAACGTGTTGAGCGCACCATCAGAGCTGTAGACAAGACCACCATATCTGGTCAACCTGCTCTTGAAGTAATTGGAGAAAATGACATTTAACCAAGGAACTTTGCAATTTCAAATTAATACTAGTGATCATGAATAGGATAGTGTGTAAATTGCCAGAATTATTTGTGAATATTCCTGATAAATATTTCCTTGAATATAGTATTGACTTCTTTCATTATTTGTTACAATTTTGTTGTAACATAAGATAGTTTTTGGGCATAAGTGCTGAGAACTCCATTAAGCCATTTAGAATAAGCCATTTAGAATTAAATGGCTTTTGAGAATCTGTCATTTCATGCTGTTGATAGTTTGTTTGATTCTGAATCTGTTCCCTAGGAATTTGAGGAAGTTAATGAAGGCCATGGAACAGAGTCAGAATTTGCTCCTAAGATCACTGCAGTGATGGGTGCAGTGAAAAGTAGCTCAGCCACAGATTGGGACCAAGATAAGCCCCAGGAAGAGCTTCCACCAAAATCTAGTGCCAATTCAAATGGTTCCTCCAACAAGTTGGACTCCACCAGCGAATTTGAGTTCAAAGTTGATGATTCAGAGATGGCTGAGTTTGATGTGGACAATACTGTTCTTGGCACTCCCAAAAATCCAAATACACCAATTGCCAATGACCGTAAAGTAGTTCATAACAACACCAGCATTCCTTGCAATGTTACTGCAACTCATAAGGACGCTACATACACAAACAAAGATGCCAATGCCTCTGGAAAATGTGTTGGTCCAGCTGCTAGTACATCTGCCTCTGCTGCCAAAACCGCATCAAGGAAATCAAAAAGAAAATTTGGTGAGTGAAGGTGATGCCTCAATTTCGACAAATAAAAGTAGATTCCAGTTATTGTTAGCTTTAAAACGTCAGGATAAAATTTGAAACCTTCTGTCAGTACTTGATCATCAATATATATGTAGCAGTTGATATTGTTAGGATTTCTTAGTTATATGCATTCATTGACATTTATAAAAAATTAATTTTTTAATTACACAAAAAAATATTATGTAAATTTATTAAAACCTAATTTACATATATTCCCTTCCCAGGTTTAGAATATATTCTTGTGAGCTTGAATGATGCTTCAAGTGCACCTGCAAGCATGAAGGAGTCACCTCATGAGTGTGTCTTGTGCCTCCCAGGACAGTCTTTCAATGCCACATTGCTGGCCAAGCACATTCATTCAGCCGACCATCTTCGCCGAGTGCTTGTGAGGAACTGGGTTCTAAATAATTGGTTCCATGTTCAGTGTTTAGGATTTTACAATTACTGATTTTTTTGCAGCAAGCCAGCTGAAAGCACAGAAAAATTTGCCACATTGACAGTATATATGTGAAATAATTTTGATTTGGTATAGCTTATATTGGTTGTAGGTGCAGAAAGATGTAGACTTAACCCTTTAGCGGGCAAGCATTGAAATATCCAGAAATTAAAATTTCAGTAACCATTTCAAGAAAGTAAGAAGTATTATACAATATATTTATTCCTATGAATTTTTGCAAATTTTGCCTATTGAAGGTTTAAATCGCACTTGAAGAATTCAATAAATGCGATCAGTACACAAAATTCTTCTTTATAATTAAAATTCAGTTTAAGCAAATGAAAAATTAGAAACATAAAAATTTAATTTAATTAAATTTAATCAAGTTGCCAAAATAAATAAATATATATATTGATACTTCCACCTTTTGAAGAAAATGCGGAAAGAGCGTCAATTCCATTGTCTGAGTCAAAATATTCATTTAAATGCTCATATTTCAATTTGTGGACTTTGCAGCTGTTGATGCTATAGATAGAACGATGGTCAGATAATTAGGGATTGACTGAGGCATTATAAGGATGCCTCAAAAGCAAACAGGAAGCCGTGATGAGGCTTTTTGTGACGCGATTTCAAGTGATCATATATGGTAACTTACCCGTGAAAGGGTTAATACATTGTTAATAGTTTTAATTTGAAACTGAATCATTCAACTTGTTTGATCCTTTGATAATGTATGAACTTCTTAAACTTCTTTCAATTGGATTATCAAATAATCAGGTATGATACGTATACTATTTTATGTTCTAGGAGATGCACAGCTTGAGTCTGTTCAACGAGTACCGTAATGAGGAGAGCACTGAAACACTGTACACAGTTCTGTGCCAGCTCATCCCCATGGCTGAGCCGCCTGTCAAGCTGCTTGTTGTGCCCAGCAGCAATCTGCAGGAGACCAGAGCTCGAACTCTCAAGATTATTACTGCCAGAAAGGAGAGGTGGGAAGGAAATTGTTATTGGTGTTGCTGTCTGGCAATGGTTCCTGGATTGTGAAGTGGTACTCTCATAGTTATCACACTAATGAAATGACTGGAATATTGAATTGTCATGTTCATAGGAAAACTCAGAGAATGTAAGATGAATGGCACAAAAATTCCTACTGCTGTTGACAGTAACCATTCATTAAAGCAAGAGGAAAAATTCCTTGTAAATAAAATTTTGTGGGTTGATGCATATTGAATTATTTACCATCATTCAGTCTGGCAACCTGCTCATCCTGGAATGCAGTCCAGGCACCTCAAGAGAAGCAAGTACCCAAGCGTACTCTTGAAGCTGTTGACACTGGGGGCCCCTCCACCAAACGTCCCAGACCTGGACTCCAGGTAGCTTTTTTCATTCATTACATGAAGTTGCAGTATTAACAAGTATTCAAACGTTTCATCTGATTGAATTTGCTTTCTAAAGCCTTAATTTTTTTCTTTATTTATACTTGATTAATATCTAGAAATCATTGATCTGTTATTTGATAATTAGTTTGTAATGTACCTTTTTCAGTGCATTTTGATCATTTTGATAAAACATTTTTCATTCTACAAGGCTAATGTATGTTTTTCAGTGCATTCTAATCATTTTGGTAAACCTTTTTATTCTTTAAGGCTAAATATTGCTGTCATTTTACTAAAGGATTTCCCATGCATTATATACTAGGCCACCAAGCCAGTCCTGCTGGTGGGGGATGAGCGGGCCAAGGAACTTTATGATGCATATCCAGCCATGCAGGAGATCTGCACTCTAGCATGGTTCCCTTCTGCTCGTATTTCAAAGCTCCTGTCAGGGTCTATCATTGCTCTGAACTCCTCCTATCGCGTCCTCATCATCATTGGACTTCAGAATGATTTTGTGACTGAACGGACTGATGGTCCAAAGAAACTGTTTATGGTCAATCCTAATGTAGATGCCATTGAGAAAAACGTCATAAGTTTCACTCATAAGATTCGTGCCATCAATCCCAATTTGAAGCTGTTCTTCACCATTCCCAATTACATTGATTTTATTGATTACTCAAAACGAGTGAAGCTGTTATCAAAAAGTGACTTTGAACGTCTTGAGGATTTCAGTAGACAGATAATGACTTCCTACAAGAGGTTGAATGATACCTTCCGGTCCATTTCCAAGTCAATGTTCTGCTACAACATGAACATAACTCTGCGCAGCAAAACAAAAGACAATGAAAAACGTCTTAGGTCTGCTGCTGACCATATGCAGTTCCCACCTGGAACCCTCAGTGATGGGTTTCGCCTCTCTCCTGAAGCCATTCAAAAAATTGCCATTGACCTACATGCAAGGGTGGAAAAGGTGCTCATCACACGCATGGATGTAGCTTGTGTAAGTATCTTCAATTTTATACTTTATGACCCTGTCTTGATATTTTTCATTTTCAGGGATATTGTGTTATGACTTGGTTCTCTTTGAAGTCTTGAGTAATTTGAAAATAATTTTTTTCATGTATGCAATGGACAGAAATTCTGTATTTTTTCACAGTTGTCTCCAACTTGATTAGTAACAGTTTTTACTTGAGTTTAATGAGTGCAAACCACAAAGTTCTATAACTTTTCTGGCCATCCCTTTAAGATACTTCAAGTTGTAAGTTCTTATTCAAGATGCCTAAATAGTAATCTTTTCTTACTTTATTGATTGATATGCAACAAGGTAAACAGTATGCTGGCACTAAAGTTGTGAGAATTGGTCAGGCACACAATTTTATAAAGACTTTTTTTACTTTGGATACATCTTTCAACTCTATTTAATGTTTTAGTTTGCTGCTGGATTCTATTTATCATCATCGAATCTATCTCCCCCACTTTTATTAGAAAAATCGGAAATTTCATTTGAATTTTATGGGCTTTCAAGTGGTAGAAAAGTAGTAAATTTAAAATATACATATGGATAATGGCATAGAATAAGTGCAAATAAGCTAGAGTTCTAATGTAGGTATTATTTGGGGTTTCATGAAGGCCTGACACCATATATTCCTGATTACTGATGCTGCAGTTACAGGTTGTTTTCTGGTGTTTTTACATTACCTTGATATCAAGTTGTGTCTGACAATTGGAAAATTCTTCCATGCATAAATGTTGTCATAACTAATGTTAAGATGACAATTATGAAAAAATTGTAATTTTTTACAATCACAAAGCTTGAAAATCACAGGATTGAGACTAAAGAGTAAATCCAACTATCTAGTTCTTGAATTGGAAAAGTTCTAGAAAAAATTTCATCAGCACACCATGCTTCATGTTTTGATCACACACAAAAATCAGGTAGATGGTACAATAGAATTTTCAGTGGGTGCTGTAGGGTGAAAAAAATTGAAAGTCATATTGCATTTTCTATAGGATTGACATGTATATAAGCAAAAATATGCTCTCATGATGATATGCATCACTTTTAAATTTACGAGCCAATAATACAAATTGTTTCAGTCTTGTTAGTCAGTCTGGAGGCATAAAGTTTTTCCATTACGATAAATTGATGGATTAAAAATAACTACTGGTTGGCAAAGAGGTTGCTTTTCCTCATTCAGCTAATAAACCATTGAGGAACTTGATTTTAAATAAATTTTTTTACCAATTTCAAAATCTAAAGTTCAAATAGACATGAAACTTCAAGCTGTAAACTCAAAGTATTTCAGAATCAAATTTGGCAAACACTGAAGATTTATTTGTTAGGACACACAAACTTGAGTCAGAGTTGAGAGGGCAGGAATGTAAATTCCCAAAGGCTGAAGTCAGATATCCAATTGAATTGTAACAAATCCTAATGAAGCTTACAAAATAAGGTGCCATGAGCAGTATAAAATTGAATTACTTTTAAACCAGTTATGCTAGTATGAAGTTAATAGTGAATACAGTTAACAGTAGGTAGTCAAGTGTCTAGTCTCCATTTTTTTGCATTTACAAATTATGGGTGATATCTGTACAGATCCTTAATGTTATATTTTTTATGACATTTCCTTCAGGGTTCTGGCCCAGAAATGATACAGAGCTGGGCTGATTGTGACAACATTATTGTCATTGGGGATCATCAGACTTTCAAGTTTGATTCAGCAGCTCCAACAGAAGTGACCAAGAATGTCACTTTGATTTCAGAGAGATTCCAGACAATGGCAACTCTGCTTGAACGTGCTGACAAGATGTTGAACCCATCTGTTGACCTGCTGGTTGTAGTTGGTTTCTATAGAGAATTTGCTCAGAATGTCATCAATGGACGATACACGATTCTTGAACCACAAGTTCCTGTAAAGGATGAAATATTTGGGTTGCTGCTGAACTACAAGAAACGTTGGACCAATCGTTTCCCACGTCTCACAGTTGTGTTCACTATTCCTCATGTTGTGGACTTTTTCCAATATAACACAGCAACTAATCCTGAAATTCAAAAAACTGAACATTTCACAAGTCAAATGAACATTTACACTCATCAGTTCTCAATCAACATAATGTCATTCTATAAAGAGCTCCGTCCTGTTCTTACAATGGGAACAACAAGAATTTGGTTGTATCACATAACAAACTCTCTCTTTGAAGGATTTGAAGATCTGCTTCAAACTATTGGAAATTTCAATGTGAAGCCACAGTTCCCCCCTCATAGTACTCTAGATGGCTTCAAACCTGGCCTTTCCACAGCCCTACGACTTCGAGCAAATCTTATTGTTTACATCTCCAAGTTGCTGCGCAAAAATTCTGTGCCTGTATTTACTAAAAGGAAGTAATTTGCAATTGAAAAACAATGAAAACAAGGAAGTCTTGATTTAACCTAACATGGCATAAGGTTTCTTTGAAGAAGTGAAATTTGAGCAGCACAGAAAGGATGTTTGAAATAGAAACACTAGCTCAAGGAGCAACTAAGATGATCAACCTGCTGATAAGAATGTTAATAGCTGTTCTAAAAGTTATTAGTTAGCCAAAGAAAAATTGATAATTATTATGAACATTCAATGCTTTCTTCAATCGATGAGGTATGAATTATTTAAATGTAGTGCCTATTATGATCTTTTTCTCTGAAGATAGTCCACATCCTATTGATGTAGCTTCATATGGATGTTAATTATTGATTTTGGAAAATCAATACAAGCATTTTCATGGGGTGGTGTCCTCATTTGCTGCATCAATGTTTATTTAATGACTAAAATTTTTTAATTGATTCTAAAATCAAACCATTCATGATGATAAACTTCATATCTAGGTTTTGTTCTCTTACCATCCCCCACTCAGGAATAAGTTGAGAATAAGAACAGTAAATAAGGTTAATCAGGTTTCTACACATTCAAGTTTGAAGTTTATTGAAATATCAGGTGAAGGAAAAAGCAAAAATGTAAATTAAGTTTGACATAAATCATGGATTTATCTACTGCTTTGAAGTTTTTCTTCAATTAGTTTGGCACTTTTTCTAAAGTGGCAAGTGCATACTATTCTCAAATTTGGTTGTGAGAAACTAGGCTGGATAAGTCTTGATCTAGAAGTTATGTGGCACACTAAGGATGGCTTCAGTGATTGTACAAACCATTTTCTGATCATTTATGTTCTGAATAAAGATTGATTGGACTACTACTTTCATTTATAGCTACAAATTTTGATGAGAATTCTGAATAAATAAAAAAATAATTAACTTATTAAAACAGAAAAGCCTGAAATACAAACAGAGCTGTGAATGTCAGTGGGGGGATTTTTTTAATGAAATATTTAGTTCTACTGAACTAGGCTGGTATCAGCTGCTCATAAAAGGTTTTTAATATCAAGTACCTATTACAAAGATGTGGATAGGCAGAAGATTCAAAAATGGAAAATTTTTAGTTTTTTAACCAGAGGAGAGTTGATTCTAGTCTGTTTTCATTTTGAGTATTTGCTAGAAACAAGTAGAGGGAAAATTGTCAACATAATATTCTGCAGGGAGTGTGAACCAAGCAAAGAATTGCATTTCTCATCTTTGGTTCATGCCTGGGGAAATGCAACTACCCCACAATCCTGAGTTGTACTGGAAGGACTTTTGCATCATGCATATAAATACAAACCTATGCTCCTCCATTTATGACTGTTCATTACTGGGATCGCAGCCATTGCTAAAAATTTGACTCTGAAAATAACCTTGGCGTCAATGCTCAGATTAAAACTTGTACAGACAGCTACCATTAGCCTCAGAGCTACAAAGCTGCAGACCTACTAGAAACACTGCAGTCTGCACTAGTTTTGTATTGTTTGAAGCCATAGCATCAAAGTGCACACCAACTTCTAAAGTCAGTCATGTTCAACGAGTTTGATTCATGCTGATTTTTGCAGAAGTTCCTTGCAAAAATTTGAACAAAAAAAAATTAATCTTCAACTGCGCCGTTGCCAAGACTGCCATCACTTCTTTTGGCTTTAATTTTAATAAGCCCTAAAGGAGCATTTTAGTGGATTGGGAGTTTAAGCCCAGAAACTTGAACATGAAAATCAGGCACATTTTTTATTTTTTGTCTTCAGCCACAGTTTATGTTTGATTTTTTTTTTGTAATTTGGCAGGCACCTTGGCAACACTTGGGTGCATAACAATTATTTTTGAAAAATCCTTAATAAGTTTTCAATACTTAAAGCTGAAAAACTTTCTTCCTCTAGCTCAGCAACCAATTTTGCTAGGGTTCAAAATTATTGCTTCCAAGTTAATTGGACCAAGACACACTTTTGTCACCTAATTTTTTTTATTGGACCCATATATAAAAAATTCACTTTATATAAAAATACACTTTACAAAAAGTTCAATAATTATTAAAGGGACTGTTAAATTTATGTTAATATATTAGCTGAAAATGTCTGTTGTAATCTCCTGTATCCAACAATTTATGTTTTAAAAAATTGATCTGTAGGTTTTTTCCAGTGCTCCATAGGTGCTCAAAAAATTGCTAAAAATCACCCTACTCAAGAGGCTCTGGTCGTGCTACTGTAAGACTTGGAGGTTTTCTTCCATTTCAAAATTGTAGGCAAAATTATTAGCTACAAATCTGTTTAAGCACTTTTTTCCATTTTCCTGGCAAGCTACAAGGCAAAAATAAAAAAGTCATCATTTTATTGTTGGAAAAAATCTCAATTGACCCTCCAAACAAATGTTGATTATTATACATCTCAATGAGGTTGTTTGACCTGTGTAAAAATTTTGTAACCAAATCAATTTTTTTTACCTTTTGTTCCACTTTAGGTTTTTTAAGAACTCATTGCTGAATGCTAAATGAAAAGTTACTTGGAAATAAGCTTGTAAATCGAAAGATATTTGGGATCCATTGTGGTCATTTTTCTCTAAAACATTGAATTTATGTGATATTTGAAGAAACATCATAAAAACACAACTCAGAATTGGCAAAAAGTTCCACCAGCCAAAAAATGTCATAACTCCATGGCTGCTGGTGCAACAATTTAAGTCATGTTTTTGTTATTACCCAGGCTTTCTGTTATGTAGAGAAAAAACAAAAACAGGGTCAGACAGAACACATTAAAGTGCAAGTTTAATATAATATAATATTATAAGACAATTTTCTCAAGATTGATTGTTGGGCAGTGAAATGGTCCCAACTTTGGCGCTCTGAATGTCACCCAAAACATGTTGCAGGGACTTGTCATTGTTTGGAATTTTTCTTCAGACAATGCAGAGAAACTATAGATCAAGTAGAAATAAAGTCCTGCTTGTAGTCAGTCCTGGACTGACAGAAGTGCAAAAGTACTGTCAAACAGAATAAGGGACCAGGTAATCTTATTGAAATATTGCAAATCTAAAAATAGTGGCATAAACTTCAACATTTTTCCTTTCTATGTAGCATAAAGGAAGTTATGAAATCATACATTTACTAGGTCTAAAAAATCCTTGAAAAAATGTTGAAAAGTGATAGTTTAAAATTCTACTTCTGTTTAGGTTTGTAGTTAAAAAATTATTTGCTGTTCTAAAAAATTTTGCATGAAAAAAGTTTGACAAGTGTCTGCTTTAAAACTTCATTGACGGAATTTTTGTACTTCAATTGAAAACAAAATGGCAGCCATTTCTGCACAATGGGGTATTGAGAGACACCCCCTCAAGTTAATACTGGACACCCTTGAAAACACAAAGACTCCAAAAAGCAACACACAAAGACTCCAGTTAGCAAAAAAATCAATTGACAAAAAAACAATTTTGACTATATGTACCTTGCTGAGTGAAAAAAATTCACTAAATGATAAATTAATGCATTATTGGTCATCATAAAAGTGTGCATAGAATGTCATAGATAATATTTTGCACCATTCAACATAGAATGATAAGTAATTAACCTAAACTATGATTTATTTCTCCAAAGAAATATGATGATCACTAAACCATTCAGTTTTTTTAATTAAGTTTTATTTAAAGTGTCCCAAATTAGCCCATTCCCAGGCATAATTCAGGATGCTTCTCTGCGCTTGGCATCATACAAATAGCACAGGGCATTTTTTTGAAGATGCCATACAATAGCCCTCACAATGACCTGTGGAATGAGCCCAAACTTGCTAATGAAATGTTTCATGGTAAAAAGTTATTAATGAAAAATTCTCAAAATAGTCCCTTATTAACCCTTTAGATTGTACATCTTCCATGCATCCTGGAGAAATCTTTATTTGGTCAAAAATGATTTCCCAGGTGTGTTCCATGAAATGCCATTGAAAAAATGTCATTTAATTTTTTTTTCAAGAAAATGAAAAAGCTCAATTATGAAACTCAAAAAATGCATCTTCCAGGCATTTCAACAAAATCTTTAATTAGTATAAAAAGCTTCTCAAGTTGGGTTCTATAAGATGCCATTGAAAAAATATTGTCTTTGTTTGAACTTCAATATGAGAAAATCAAGAAAACCAATAAATTGTCCTGATACCAAGTTGCCTTCACATTCCAAGTGCAGGATTCAAATAACCATAAAACTTATTTTCCTGGCATCCCACAGGAATATTTATTTATCAAAAATGATTCTCCAGATGTGTACTTTTAGATGCCATTGAAAAAATTAGTCACTTGGACTTTTTTTATTTGAATAGAAAAATGTAAAATGACAGTATGGCAAAAATACATCTTAAAGATATCCCACAAACATCTTTTTTATACAAAAATGCTTTCCCATATGTGTTCTATAGCAAGTTGTTACAAGAATTTAGGCATTGCTTAGAATTTTTTTTTTTCAAAAAATAAAAAAATTGATTGTTCTGAGATCAAGTTCCATCCAGAAGTCCAGGATTGAAAAAAATGCACATTCCAAGCATCCCACGGGAATTTTTATTTAGGCAGAAGAGCTTCTCCAGATGTGTTCTACAAGAGCTGTTGCAAAAGGTTATTCATCACTAGGACTTTTTTTCAAAAATAAAAAATAAACATGATAACTCATCCGAAATCAAAGTCAAAACTCCCATGGAATTGACCCTTCACTTGGAGATGGGCAAAATAGGGTACAAAACTAATAGCCATTTTTCACAGCCAAGACAAAAGCCACTGGTTCCAAGCTTTGCACGCATATCGGCCATAATCATATGTCATATTTTTAACTCCTAATTCCAGGCACTGGCCAGAGAGCAGTTTTGCCTGGCCTCCTTGCCATCTCATAGTGCCCCCCTTATAACATCTATTGCTCCTGCAAGACACAAGTGGTGTTGGGGTGGAATAGATATTTCATCAGACTGCAAATAAAAAATTACTTAGTTCATATATAATAGTGATTAAGTTCTGCATTTTGAAACAAATTGTTGCAAATGCTTTTGAGGTGTAGAGACATTTGGAGTTGACCTGTCTGTAGAAATAAAATTGTGTGACTGAGTTACATTTAATGCACAGTAGGATGCAAGAGTTTGACTTTGCAATAGATTAGCTTGCATTCGTTTAGGATGTCAAGGTTATGTGCCAGCTTCTGATCTCTTGAATTACCAGTAAGAATCATGCTGGGGAGAAATACTATGGTGACTTAAGATTGCATAATGATATATTTTTGTGAATGGTTATTGTGAAGAACTTTACTGACAGGAATGTAAATTTAAATGGTCACCTGATATAACTAACCTCTATTTTGTCTATTAGTGATGGTGAGATGTTGTAACATTATCTTAGGTTAGATAAGGTTAGGTTATTTTGGGTTAGGGTAGGTTTGGCTAGGTTAGGGTAGGTAAGGTTTGGTTAAGAAAGGTTAGGTTAGCTTAGATTGGGTTAGGTTAGGTTATGTTAGGCAAAGTTAGGATGGGAAGGGATATGTTAGGTTTTATTAGGTTAAGATTGGTTACAGTTTATATATATATATTAGAAAAATTTTAATTGGGATAGGTTAGGTCAGATTAGTATACTTTATTTTGTCAGATTATTTTAGGTTTAAGTTAAATAAGGTTAGATCAGGTCAAGTTATGTTAGGTTAGGTTATGTTATGTTAGGTTGGTTAGGTTAGGTTAGTTCAGGTCAAGTTTGGTAAGGTGAGGTTAGATTGAGTTAGGATATGTTGGGTAGGTTAGATTAGGTTGAGTTAAGTTAGGTTAGGTTACGTCAAGTTAGGTTTGGTTAGGTTATGTTATGCAAGGTCATATCAGAGTATATTGTGTTGTGTTACCATATGTAGCATTATTATATGAAATGTTATTAAAGGTTATTATATGTTATTAAATGTTATTATATGTTATTAAATGGTATGTTATAGGTAATAAGTTATGTCAAGGTATGTATGTTATAGGGTGAGTTTGGTGATAAATGAGGAGACTTATAAATGTGTTTATTTGAGATTACATGGCAGGTGTTTCTTAGAAATATTTTATTTGCACAGTTTTTGGATGGCTGCTCAATTGCATTCCTGCCAAGGCCTAGAGAATCTTTTAAATGAACTAGATAGGAAAACTATGGCTTTGATGGCAAATTCTTGAGTTTTTCAAATTTTATAAATATCAACTAGTATATTAGAGGTTTGGTTCTGCCAGAACAAATTTATTAATAAAATTTGCTATTAATGACTTTAAGCTTTTACATTTTTATTCAATTTCATTTCAAAATGACAGATATTGTGCATTTTCTGTATTGGGTTTTAAAAAACAAAAAAGTTATCAGCTCCATCATCAGTTCAAACAATTGTATAGAATACAATTACAATGAGGATTGAAAATCAAAACATGTAAAAGAAAATATTTAAACCAAGATTGCCATAAGATGACACAAATAACCAATTATTTTCAATTTCAAGTGGATAAGAAATATACCTGTTAGTAAAATGATGTTTCCACTTTAAAATAGGCTACAGTTCAGAATTTATAAGCCTAAGCCACCAGAGGTTGAACCGAGTTACTTGAAATCATGAAATCACTCTCAGCCAGTCTTGGCCCAATGTTCAAGGTGAAAGTGGACAGCAGAGTGAGAAGACTTGGAAATTGGCAGGCTTTAAAATAGATTTTTGCCATATTTTTCAGAAATCCCAATGTAAAAGTTATGGGTCAGGAAAAACATCCTTTTACTGAAGAAGGAACCAATTTTGAAATTGTTTTCCTCCTAAATATGCAAGTTGAAATTTAAAAAATATTTGAGGGATAACATTTTCAATTATTTGGACATTGGCCACCAAAATGGAAGAAATTGCAATAAATTGTTTTCCTACTATCAGCATCAATAATAGTAAGAATATCCATTTGTCATTATATGCTTAATTTTACTAAACCCAAGGCATGATGGAAACCCTTTCATTTTAAGTAAATTATGAGTACAGCAATCCCTTGATTAACGCGGTTAATAAATCCCCGAGTTTTACCGTGTTAAGCAAAACCGCGCTAATCAAACTTAAGAATATATGGAAATAATTATAATGAATCCTGAAAAATAGCAAAGGAAAGGAAAATTATGTAGTTTGATTAAAGTGAGCAGTAGATATGGCAGCGATCTTGACCAGTTGAAGGCTAACGAGTAACTAGCCCTTTACGCACTGAATTATGTTTCGAAAGTGAAAAAACAATCTGAATTACTTTTCAGATCACGCGCAGTCTGTGTTAAACTGGCAGTAACGACGTGCCTACTCCATCGAACGTCGTTCGAACGAGTTCACAACATGTGACGCTACCGTCACACTCGCGGCTAGACTCCAAACATGTAGCTAATTACTCTCGGTAGAAGCTTTTATTTTCTGTGTGACGAATTCGTCACACCAGGGCTTAAAGGGCTAGAGCACCGGCATGGCGCACTTACCGGCGAACGTTGCCGAACTCGATCATTCGAGTTATGAACGAGACAAGGAGCGGTTAAACTGACTGTAGTCAGCACGAGTTCCTACGGAACGGGACCTTATTTAAAGAATTATTGGCTGAAATTCATAATCCGTGCTAATCAAGGGATTGCTGTATGTTTGAATTCAGAATGCACATCATAGAAGGCAGAACAAATCCTATAGCCACAATATGTCAAGGTTTGGAGACCATTCAATTTTAAATTAATTGGATGATAGGATGGAAATTAGGATGGAAGTATCTCTTGGAAGAGATATAAGAGATTTATTGCAACCAATCGTTTTCTCAATGAAGAAAACTGGATCCTATGGTTTGATTCCTTAATTGAATGAGACAAGGTATAGCCCAAGTTGTTATAAAGATCCCCTGGTATGTTGAAACCAGCATGAGCATCAAATAACAAATATAAATGCAAGACAATGTTTTTCAAGTAGAAGAACATCTGGACAGTGAAGGGAAATTTCAGAGATTTCAAGTGTGAGAGTCAATCAAAAATATGTACCAAGTAGAATAAACTTTATTGGGTGAACATATCAGAAAATGTTATGATTAGTAAGTTAAATTCTGGAACAAACCAATAGAAGAATCAACATCTGATTGGCTGTTAAATTGAACAATATAAATACTACATTCATCTTTTATTATGAACCATGGAGCTCCTTGGATGTTGCTGGAGTGCTACCAGCAAAATGAGTGTGTGACTCATGAGTCATGGCCTTGTATTGTGGAAACATTTATATGAGGTTATCAAGAGCAATTAGAAGGTAAAATCTTATAATCAGCAGCATTTCAACTTTTTGGAGGTATGTATAATAAATTTAGTCATTAAACCTAAAAATTTATTCAAATAGCTTTACTATAACATACACTATGAGCAGGAAAATACACTTAATTAGAAAACATTTACTTTGTATTTCCCTATGAGCCTTTTTGCTCTAGGAACCTAGTCTCAGCCTAATGTATGAAATATTCAAGTGGTTCTGCCATCCCATGCAAAAACCTTGATATGAGAATTTTTTTTTTTGAATTTTTTGAGACCTCAAAGGTTTAAAGTTAATCCATAAAATCAATACCTCTGTTCAAATGCAAATTTATTACAAAATATACTTTGCATACATTCTTTACAAAACAATCTTCTGAAATTTGAGTAATTACCTGGAACTTGTCACTGAGCAGTACTTCAGAATGTCTATGACAATAATACACCAATGAAGGAGGAAATATGAATGATGAACAAAATAGACTCAGACTCGTGTGCACACAGTAGCACATTGATGGATAAAAACCCATTCCCTGCTCACTTTTTCATAACTGTTAGGTCTTCTGTTGAGATAGTCAAATGCCACTATTTTCCTGCCACTATTTCCTATTACTGTAAAAAGTTGCTACTTAAGGGAAATGGAGTAATTTTCATTTATATTGATTGCTGAATCACAAGGACTGCTTCAACATGAGAGAACTTTCTGCTGTTGTATTAATGACCTCAGAGTTTTGTGCCATGTAAAAATTCCAATTTGGGATAGTACGGGATCACTTTCATTAAACAATGAAATCTTTAAAAAGGATTTATCATCACTATTTTCTATCCACTAGTTCTGTAACAGAAATTAAGTGAAGCACTTGACAACAACTGCTTTGACTTTCAATGAATTTTTTGTGACTGATTACTAGAAGTCGTTTCCCATGCAAGGAAAATGGAACTCAAACACTATTTTGCCAATTTAATCTATGCTGACAAGATGAAATACATTTAACATGGAAAAGATGAGATGGGAAAAGGAGGCTTTGATTGGTGCAGTGTATTTAATGTTGTGGATTAAGTGGAGATTTAAAATTAATTATTTTTTGTATGTCCATGAATCTTGCTACTAGCCATGAGCTTGGCCCTGTGGTGTAAGGCGTGGACTAGATCAAATTCAGCCAAACTAATTAGAGTCAGAGCCCAGCAGAAGGGCTTTGAGTAAAGGCAGTTTGGCACATTATTTAATATAAAAGGCAATTGTTTTTTTACCTTATTATTTTTGAAAATCAAATAATTCATTTTGTTTGTAATTTTGCTGCTCATTTAGTTATTTATTTAGCATCTGCCAACTCCTGGTAAAAAGTTATTCTCCTTACAGTTTGGTCATGGGTAACGTTTGCATAACTCACTGCCTTGTTTTACCTCCTACAGCAACTTTATCATTAGCCTTCTTTTGTTGCAAGTTCTCACATAGACAAGGATTGTTTCTTCATTTCCTCTTTTTCCCTATATTTTTCAGTTGCTTGTGCCTGCATCCATGGAGTACCTGCCTCTTCCTACAATAATAAATCTGGATGATGGAGCTTCAAAAAATCTTATTCAAGTATTCTGTTTTTATTAGTGTTAGAAATGAATTCATTTCATGTCATATATGGTAAGTACTTAAATGAGAGTAAGTACCATAAATAAGTACCATAAATGAGAAACCAAATGATCTAAGTACCAGATTTTATTTTCAGCAGAATTGAAAAATCTTCTTAAGGACTATTTGCTGGTATATGTATTTTTTTAACATTATAAATGAAATTCTGCTGGTAAATTTCTCATTTTTACATTACATGATTTTATATTACTGTCCTGAGTGATTTAATGAAGCAATGACCACTACTGAATCATCAAGAAATCAGAATAAATGTGCAATTAATGAGCAATATATATTTACTCATCAATCAAGTGTAAATTCTGTAAAGAATTAGGTTGTGGTAATAGTAAATTATCTCTTCTACTAGGTTTATATTATTCTACTTAGTGGTATAAATATTTACTTTGTACATTAATTTTAAATTAAATTAAATTTTTCCTGCCTTGCCTTTTTCCAGATTCTTGTGCAGTGCGCCCACGACGGTTGCAGATGCAGTGGTATCAGTGGTATCTTTGATGCCTCAGGGTATCAATAATATTCCCTATGTTGTTCCCTCTGTATTTTTAATATCTATCTGCCTATGATACAAATGGGGCTTGGTTAATCATAATCATTCCATCTACCAAATTTAAAATGGGTAATGTAGAATGAATGAGGTCCAATGTGTCTATTTTGATGAGGTCTATGATATTTGTGTTGTGAAATTCATTTCTTGACACATTAAATATGCATTAGTTTTAGTATGGCATAATTTTTCTGTTTTCATTACAGGCTTGTTCATGTTTCTGACTGTCAAGTGATGTGTAATTTGAGACACAGCAATTAATGTGTATGCAAATAAGATATAATTGAATGACAGTAAATAATATTATAATCTAATGACAGAAGATAATTGATACAAAGTGCTAGAAAAAATCATTTTCTTAATTTCTGCTAATTTGGTCTGTGGGAAAAATTGATAAGATGTCCAATCCAGGAAGACCACCTAATTTTGGTGGCCCCAACAGCTGCATGAGATTTCAAGGTCCCAATGGCCCACGCTTCTGGGGACCGCAAGGGCCTTCCCCCATGGCCCCTGGGCAATTTGGACCTTGTTCCTTTGGTCCTGGGCCTAATTTCAGTGGCCCGCAAGGAGATTTTAGTTCTGGGCCTGGTCCTCAAGGATATAGTGGTCCTCCAGAATTTGGACCTGGACCTGGTGATCACAGAAATTTTTCTGGTCCTCCTGGAGACTTTGGCCCTCCGGGCAACTTTGGTCCTCCAGGGAACTTTGGTCCTCCAGGCAACTGTGGTCCTCCAGGCAACTGTGGTCCTCCAGGGAACTTTGGTCCTCCAGGCAACTTTGGTCCTCCAGGCAACTTTGGTCCTCCAGGCAACTTTGGTCCTCCAGGCAACATTGGACCTCCTGGCAACATTGGACCTCCTGGTGAATTTAGTCCTTCTGGTGATTTTGGTCCTCCTGGAGACTTGGGTCCTCCGGGTGACTTCGGTCCAGCTCCCAATGGTTCTCATCTTAATTTCGGACTTGGGCCAAATGGTCCTTCAGGGGACTGTGATTCTTCTAGAGATTTCGGACCTAACGGACCCAGTGGAGGGAATGGTACAATGCCAAATGGCCCTCCTGGACCCACTGGCGAGACTCCGACCAGCAACTCACATCCAGCCCCACCTGGAGCCGAGGCTGATAACGAAACCATATCTATGTGTGAAATGGCTGCTATGTTTGCCTCTGAAAATTGTGGTGCTGAGACGCGTGCAATGCTGCAAGAGGAAAAAGAAGCCATGTCTAAGCAGCAACGGAAGACACCAGCGGCTGGGGGAGCTATTGCTGCTCCTCCCATTGCTACAGCAGCGTCTGGTCCACCTGTCAATACGAGTGTTCTTCCGCCTAGTGTGAGTGCTCCTCTTCAACAGCCGATGCACATGCCTCCCCTGCAAAGTATGCCTCCACAACAAGGCATGCCTCTGCAACACGGCATGCCACCTCAGATAGGTATGGATCCTCAGCAAGCTATGCCTCCCCGGCAAGGAATGCCACCCCAGCCAGGAATGCCTCAGCACAGTATGCCACCCCAACAAGGTATGCCTCCCCAACTCCACATGCCTTCCCAACACAGTATTCCTCCGCAACATGGTATGCCACCCCAACACGGTATGCCTCCCCAACATGGCATGCCTCCCCAACACGGTATTCCTCCTCAGCATGGTATGCCTCCTCAGCAAGGTATGCATCCACAACTCGGAATGCCTCCACAACACGGCTTGCCTCCACAGCATGGTATGCCTCCCCAGCACGGTATGCCTCCCCAGCACGGTATGCCTTCCCAACACGGAATGCCTCAACAACATGGGATGCCTCCACAACACGGTATGCCTCCACAGCACGGTATGCCTCCACAGCTCGGTATGCCTCCCCAACATGGTATACCTCCACAACATGGGATGCCTCCCCAACATGGTATGCCGCCTCCATCAATGGCAAATCCATCCATGATTCCTCCCATGATGAACCAAGCCAACCCTATGCCACACCAAGTTCCCTCTAACTACCCCATGAGTTATAGCTCACCTGCCATGACAATGCAGTCAGTTCCGCCGCAATCTGCGGGTCAGTCTCTCCTTGTCAAACACAAGGCAGATATCAATAAACCGGCCGTTAAAACAACTAAAAAGAACAAGGCCAAAAACGGCAGCAATAAGATCATAATTAAGCCTATCACTGCCGGTCCCGCTCTGGCCGAACCTACGACCGAGACCGACGAGGCCTTGGCTGATTTCTACTCCAGTGTTGCAGCTGACATCGAGAAGAAAAAAGAAGAGCTTAAAAAGAAATCCGAAGAAGAGGAACTCCAAAAGAAGAAATTAGAAGAAGAAAAGAAGGCAAGATTATTGCCATCCGAGATCAAGGGGCAAGTGACGATCACGGTAAATAATGTCTTCAAACCCATCGGCATTTACGAATTCCGACGAGTGTTGCAGGCATGCGGTCAGATCACCCGTTATGTCATGACCAAGAACCCCTCTGACCTCTACGGTGAGAAGCCTTGCTATTTCTTCCTCATTATGTCACAATTTTGTTCGCGTTTGAGGCAATAGAGAAAAGTTTATTCTCTGCAAATCTTATACAGGTGATGCAAAGAATATAGAAGCATTCACACGAGCCGTGCAACACCGTGCTCATGGTGTGAATGCTTCTATATAAATTCATCAAATAATATTGGACTGGCTGTGACTTGCATATGCTTGACATGTGCCCGGCCGTATGGTGTGAACCCAGCCTAAGTATGGCTGCTCAAGGGTTTTGTTTAATGCTATTTGTGTTGAGACCCGTCCTAAGGGACTGCTTAAGGGTTTTGTTTAATGATATTTTGTGTTGAGTTTGATGAGAGTTGCTTATGCCATCTTGGGCCTTATAGGCGGTAACTTTAATGCTGCATTTTTTGGGAAAGTCAGCTTAGATTTCTTTCTCTGCTTCATGGTCCTAACATTTTTTATGTAATACAATTAACATTGTAAAATTGTAAAAGATTACAATTTGATAGTAAAAGACTAACTTCTTCATAAAAAATTTTCTTTTCCTTATTTTATGCTTGAAAATTTTATTTCTAAACAAGTCATTGACTTGTTATTTTGGCCTTTTTTAAGCCAATTTCTGGGTGTCATGTCTTGATGCACGAGTTGTCCTGCCCCAACATGACACGCTCTCCCCCCTCCCTCTCAGCGAGCGCCCGCGTCACCTTCTCCCGCGTGGACGAGGCTCTCCGATGCGCTCGCCTCATGGCCCGCCTCTCCATCGATGGCTGCAAGATGACCACCGTCATCCCAGATTTCATTAATAACGACGCTGGACCGTCCCGTGGGTTCCCCGTACTAATCAGCATCTTGCATGTCTTAAGAATTGTGTCTGGATCTGTCATATTGTCAGCACAGCAAGGCTGCATGATCGAGGGCTGCAACATTACTTTTAGTCCGATAGTTTTACATGCATTTTTTCACGGCTTCTGTTCAAGCACAACAATTTATCACCATAAGCTGGACTCTTATTTTTGGCCAATCGCCCTCTCTTTGCTCATAATCATCTGTGTAACGCCTAATGGCTGGTAAAAAGTTCTCAATTTTTGACTGGGATAGGCTGAACTATACATTATTATTTAGTTTTCTCTATCTGTAGTATTGGCAGAAACAGTAAGTACAGTTGTATCGCAAATTAGTTATCCATAAAATATCCCTCTGTGCCTTGTGATGATCAGAATGAATAACATTTGTTCTCTCTTATGCGCAGGTGGAGATCGATCCATTGACAAGGATGTGGTGAGGGCCATCGACAAGCTCCTGAAAGGCTCCTGCCGCTCCACTCATTGGGGTGAGTGGCTTGATGGGAAACACCCCGTGTGTGTGTGTCTGCTGGGACATGTGTGGTTTGTGTGGTGGGACACGTGATGTGTGTGTAGACTCCCTCATCGGTGGCGGTCGCGGCAGGACGTGTCGGCTTTGTCTTGAATCTCTGAATCTCACTTAAGTTAATCGTTGGTGTGTGATGATTATATGTATAAATATTTTATTGCTGTGCCACTTATTATTATTATTATTATTCCACGAAGAGATTGTCGTGGCGTCTCGTTCAGATCGAACTTCGAGGGCACGTTATAAGTGGCTAAAAAATACACGAGAGGATAAAAACAGATGATGTCTATGCTAAAAAGATGACGTCTAACTAAACAGATGACGTTGTTAATTTATACAGCCTGGCCAAAGAGATGATTTCAGTGTTACGGAGGAAAATCAGTGAAAAAAAGTGTAAATTCTTCAGTGTAAAAGTGTTCAGGTCACTACACCAATACCCGGTTGGGATAAGTCGGACTCGGCAAAAGCAAAATCAGTTTATGTAGCTATTGTATCTAATATGTAAAAAAGTGAAAGTAGAGTGTCAAATTTTTTACAATAAACAAGTTAATTAAATAAGAGAGTTTAGCAGTAGTCAGAAAGCAAAGTTGTCAGGTGTGGCCAAAGTGCTTGGACGTCAAGTGTGGTCCAAGCGCCTCCAAAGTTATTTACGACTTTCTGTTGAGCCTATAGATCTTTTTGTGAGCTCAGTGTTCTTTTAGCTCAGTGTTTCATACAGTAAATATACTCAGTTTTGTCTCGTTCGGACATTTCGAACGAGAGAAGCAGCACCAATGATTACTCTCTTCAGAGCCCTCATGCTTTCCAATCTTGAGAACTGCTGCCAGCTTTGGTCGCCACTCATGGCGGGCGCGGTGCGGAAACCGGAGTCAGTCCAGCGGACCTTCACGTACAGGATCAGCGGTATGAAGGAGCTGAAGCTGGACTACTGGGGAAGATTGAAACACTTGGGACTGTACTCACTGGATAGGAGAAGAGAAAGGTATATCATATTGTACACTTGGAAGATGATAACCGGACTGGCTCCCAACCGGACTTTGAAAATGAGACCTCCAAAATAGTAACATATTACAACGCAAGGAGGGGGAGACTGTGCAGGATCCCTCCATTTAATAACCGAGCCGCGGCCAGAGTACTGACTCTTCGTCCTTGTGTGTGTGGTGGGGTGTTCTGTGTAGAGACCGGCTGCTTCCATTAAATAGCTTGCTGCCACGAATTTGTCACATGTCACTAAGACGTGCCCTATATATATAGATATATACACACTATACAAATGTTTAATTTATTTTCTAATAGACTCGTTGGCAAAAGAAGAAGGTCCTGCGCTGGACAACGAGGTTACTGACGAGGCCAAATCTCCTGCAGCAGCAGAAGCGAAGCCTGCCCCTGAGAAAGTGGAGCTAATTATCAGCACAATTCCCGAAGTCGGGGAAATTATCCCAGATAAACCAACGTCTTCCCTGAAAACTGAGAAGATCAGCCAAAAGGCTGATAAAAAAGCGGTAAATCTTTCAAGACTTATGACTGGATTATTTACTAATGATACTCTGATATTTACCACGGATACTTGGTTGAATTTGTGCTACATTTTGGGACAATTCATTCACATTGCTTTGTTTGCTTGATTGACATGCCAGTTAAAGGTGCGAATGTCGGAAATTGAATATATTTCGGTGTCATTAAAGCACTTACAAATTAGGAGTTACCGAGATTTGCTTGCCTTCACTATGCAGTTAGAATGCCGCCAACTTCTTGTAGGAGCAAAGGTCGTGAAGGGTTAGCTAAATTTCTAAGGGAAATGCGCTACTGAATAAGCGTAAAAAAATATAACTCAGTACTCACTGCAGTGAGTGACAGAGAGCGCATTTTCTCGTCGACGAAAAGTTGAGGTCACGGACAGACGGACGGACAGACAGACAGACGGTCGGACGGACATAACGAGCACAATAGTGCATTTTTTCCATTAATGAGAAAATGCGCTAAAAAGAGTGCTTCCCGTCATAAAAGACTGAGGTTTATACAACTTCAAATCCCGTATTTAACTAACAAGGTCTAACTCGACTAGCATGCAAAGGTATTGTTTATCTTAAACGCGCATTTCGGTATTTGTTAATGTCTGGTCTTTTTGCATCATTTGATTCACATGATTTTGAATGTTTATTTTCATTGTATCAACATTGAGTTCCAGATGAGCACATCCAAAAGGCGGTACCGCAAGCTGAGCGTTTCTTCTGTTTCGTCGGACTCTTTAGACTCTGAAATTGGAGAAGAAGTCCTCACAAAAGGAAAACGATCCAGCAAAAGTCCTAGTCATCGAACACACAAGAAAAGTCTCAAGCGCATCAAAACTCGATCACCAACTCCCACGAAGTCGGTCGCCCGGTCACGAAGTCCCCGACAGCCTAAACTTCGGTCCCGAAGTCCTCGACTACCGAAGCCTCGGTCCAGAAGTCCTAGACTGGCACAACCTCGGTCCCGAAGTCCTAGACTGGCACAACCTCGGTCCCGAAGTCCTAGACTGGCGAAACCTCGGTCGCGAAGTCCTCGCCCACAAAAACTTCGGTCCCGAAGTCCTCATGTGCAAAAACCTCGGTCCCGAAGTCCTCGCTTGCCGAAGCCGCGATCCCGAAGTCCTCGCTTGCCAAAGCTTCGATCCCAAAGTCCCCGTCCACATGAAGGTCGAGTGAGTCGGTATCCTCGACGGCCTAGCATGAGCCCTGACCGAAGCCCGAGCCCCGACAATCACAGGAGCAATGGGCGGCGACTTGTGAGCTACCCAGGGCCCATGAGTCCCGAACGTGGACCTCATCCACCTAAACGACGAGAGGAAGAAAGGCCTTTTGGAGATGGCCGTGGCCGCCACTCCCCTGCGCCTCTCACAATTCTGAGGAGCCCTTCGCCAGAGGCACGTATCGTACAAGTCCCAGCGGTACCTGTAAAGAGTCGCAACTACAATTTAAAAATCATCGAGACCCAGAAAAACATAACAAAAACCGGTGTACTGGATCTTTGTGACATCTTCTTCGGAGGCAAGCCCCCCATATTTGTGCGCGGTGAAGGCTGGTTGCTCGATATCCCTAAAAGCAGAAACGCCGTGGCGATGTTCCAGCTGTTGCACAACCAACGCCTCATCGACACCAAGCTCAAGCTGACATTTGTGAGACGTCCCTCTAAGAAAGTATTTCTTAATAAAGCTGACATGAAAGGCGTCGAATCGCGCGTCAAGAAAGTTGTCAGCAGCTATGACAGTCACACTAAATACCTCATCAGGAACGACATCAACAAAGGCTTGGACATCTACAGTTTCAAGATCAACCCGTGTCTCGCGGAATACTGCAGCGAGCCCGCTTGTCCGTTATTTCACGGCTACAAAGACAGGCGCAGGGACCCCCGCAAGTTCGTCTACAGGCCGGTCATGTGCAACAACCTGCGTACCGTCAGCGAGTGTCCACGGGGCGACGCCTGCAAACTCGCTCATAACATGGCAAGTTTTTGACGTCACTTGGCAGGCTGGCCTCTGATCATATGTTTTGTGAACATGATTATACAGAAAATAAGCTCGAGTATATTGCTGTACGCACTGGATAAAATTTTACTATTTATTTTAAAAGTTCTTGTTGTTTTCATAACGATGTTTATGCAGATGGAGTCGCTGCTGCACCCGTCGGTGTTCCTGGCTGACGTGTGTTCCTTGTGGTACGAGCAGCGGCGCTGCACCGCAGACTCGCTCTGCAACAACGCGCACCCGGGTACTGGCTCCTCATTTGCCCATCAACATTTGTTTCTTGATCTATTTAATTGTTGACTTTCGGGCTGCGTCCCGCTTCTAAATTCGCTCATTTAAAAACATTTTCTGTCGTCATTTTGTATTCTAGAATTCGATTTGATCAGCTGACATGTTCCAATTTTTTTATTTGGTTTCTACATTCTGCTGTTACTCTCTGCCTACCGCCAGCGTGGGTTACTTCGTCCTTTACCTACGATTACTTCTATAGTGTTAGTTATTAATACGTTCAATAATACTTGTTATCGATCGTATTTACTTGTGATAGCCAAGTCACAACAGTTGACGGTGCTAGTGTAGGCGCAGTCGTTAAATGTTGCCAAGACTTAACAAAATATATGAGCTGAATTGACGCTCCATCGTCTCCCGCAGAGTCGCCTGACATGTTCTACCACGTCGCCTGGAACGACCTCTACGTCGCGGGACTGCACAACACATTCTACTTCTTAGCTGGGGCCATACGCAACCTACACAAGATCAAACAAGTTACCGGTTTGTTGTATAACTTTCATTGGCAACTTAAATCCATCTGGAGCACATAAGTTTACCCTGACACTGAACATACTCGATGTGTGTTCGACAGTCGTGTGCACACGTTGTATATAGCCGCGCACGTCTTCACAATATATGTTTACAATGGAGACATTAACTGCAAGTAATCAAGATGTTCTTCTGTCAATATAAATATGTTTTTGGTTGTCTTATGAAAATTACTAGAGTATTATGTGTCCTTTGACTGTAACAGGAGGCTGTCACATCATCCTGGGGACGGTGCCGGGGCTGCTGGCGATGTTCGCAGAGCGCGGGGTCGGGCCCCTCAAGGGCCTCAACGCCCTCATCGTGGACGACGTCTCGTCCATCTTGGAGGACGAGGAGCGTCTCGCCGCCCTCGTCGACCTCATCGTCCTCGTCTACAATCAACTCAGCAATCCAGGTAAGCGCAATTTCTTTCTTCATGTTTTTTTCATAAAGATTAAGTTGTTTGACTGATAGGATATTTGTTAAGTTATATTGATCGGTCAAAACTCTAAAATACGACGGAAAAGTGTACCTTCTTTGCGTTCTTATGAGTTTTAATTATTGGTCGGGTTATTTTTGTTCCATCCTGCAAGGGTTTTAGATTTTCCGGCATGTTTCAATTGAGCTAACATTAACATTTGTCCTATAATTAGTTAAGAGCTTCAAAATAGCAAGTAAACCCATACTGTAACTGATTTTTACCAAAAATTTAACCCGCTACAAATTTTACCGGCATCTGCACCTGAAATGTTCTCTGTGCTCACAACAAAGCAAGTCTTGCGAGCGAGTGAGTCTGTCTTGTATCATATACAATGACAAAATTCAGTTTTTCGTATACCTTGTTAAAAAAGATTGATTTTGCATAGTTAAATTATCATTTGAGAAACTCGGGTAAAATTGTTACCAACTTCATAACTCAGATTGCTTGCGGCTTGTGCGTAGTGATAAAAATTTCGTTTGGTGCCGCCTGACTCGCGTATTTTACCGGTGTCCTTCAGAACTAATCTTTATCAATTTTGCAGCCTAAGCGCAAGTAATGCTGCATCTCTGTTATGCTGGTTGATGTTCGTGTACGGATCCAATTTAAACTTGTCTCTTTCTCGGATCATGCCTGGAAATAGTTAGCTTGGTGTGTTTACAGCGAGTGTACAAGAGAAAAGTTGAGTTTGACATATAGCGAGGAAAGTTCCGGACGAGAGTGTCTTCTGAGGAATTTACCTAATTGTTAATTTATGGATTTTCAGTTGTGGAATAAAAATATCTTCCATTGCTTCTTTATACCCTTTCAATTTAATGAACGCGATCGATGCTTCGATCTCGAGTCACATTTCTTGAGTTACTTCGGAGAACGCGAGCCATGGTTGCATTTCTTAAAAAGAACGCAAAGAACCATAATCGTTTCTTAATTTTCGACTCGTGAGTGATGATGAAATTAATTTCGATTTCCTGCACTTGTAATAAAAAATGCCAATTACGGTGCTGTGTTTTGAGTTCCGAACCCATCATGACAGAACCGAGTGCCATTTTTGTATTCACGTTTCTGCCAACTTACAAAATTGATTGGAATTTGATCAGCCGAGTAAACACGCTGAGTGGAAAATGGATATTCCATACGGCCCATCATCAAAAAATAACCTTACTAGTCTTCGGAAACAGGAAGAAGATGCTTTGTTCTAAATTTATTTTAAAGCGAGACTAATTGGGCCAAAGAAACAGTGTTGTCCAAAGTGCTTGTACGTGGAGAATGTGTTACTCGTACCGGCGAGAATATAGTGTGTAGTTTATCACGTGCCTGAATCTTGGTGGTAAGAAGCCTGTAACGTCCTCGGTAAGTATCAAGCTTGGTAGGATTGTTAGTGAATTATTCCTGCAGGAAAGCGAATATATGTGCGTGAAAACCTATAGGAAGAAATGTCTGCAAGCTTTTACCGTTTTAATATCAGTTTCAAATGCAATAATTTAAGGTTAAGGGTGAATGAAATACTTTGTTAAAATAAACTTTCAAAAGTGACTTGATCGAATATTTGAGTAGTAGACGTTTCTTTGTTATTATTATCAGAGGTTAATATGAAAACGGATACTTTTGTTGCATTGATTTTATTGATAGTTAATCAGCCTGTGCTCTCCAGGTACCCGGCCTTGAGATAACATTATCATTGATGACGTATATATTATATATCTGTTGTTCAATAAATTAAAAATGCTTCTTGTAAAATAATCTCTAACAATTACTCATCAACTGGAATGTTAAATTAGTTCTCATGTGTACTGTATTATTAAGTTTGTTAGGCAGATAGAAGAATATTTATTCTCAAATGCTTTAACCCTAATCGCCTTAGGTGCGCGGATAACGTACGTCACTTCAAATACCCTCAATAAATAATGTCTAGACATGTATACCTCAAGTGAAGCACATGTTCTCTCGTTCCTTGATGAATAATATTTGCAATATTATAGCTTTCTTTGTTTCCTTTTGGCTTCTAATTTTGATGAATTTGTCAGAATATGTTGGTTTAAGATTAAGTGCTTGCTCCTGAGGAAGCTTTAATGCAGTTCTTTGGTTGGTTGCCGCACTTACGTATCCACCCATTGTGGAAATGTGAGTTTAGCCTTATTCCTCTATTCGTTTTTGACGCTTTGCAGCCATCATTTGTAGGTTGGATTGAATTGTTGAAAAATAATTTGAAGTATAGCAATAAGATTGTGGCGTATTAAAAACGAAGAAGTCTAAAAAAAGTCATCTTTTGAATTAAGTTCCGAAATAATTTAAAGGAGGGAGTACCATTCTGCTTTGCCCCAAGGCGATTAGGATATCAAAAGCCAGTTCTGAATATGCTATAATTAAGTTAGAAAGTAAAAAAATAGGGCATTTTGCGGCGTAAGGTGGGCGGGTCGCCCCCTTAACTCAGATAACTTATATCATCGGAATGACTTTGATTTCTAGTGCTTGCGATTTTACATTTGTGTTTTTTTTTGTTAATCCGTGTCGCCCTAATTCTGGACAGAGTCGCGCAATTAGCGCTGTTGTATCCATAATTTTTTATTAGGGTTTCCTTTTTACACTCATAAGTTCTCCAGAATTCCTGACATATGAATGTTTATATGTGTTAGCTTGCTGCATTGCTGCATTGGTGAAGCATTGTTTGCTAAGGTGGCAGTACCCAACTCTATGTATGTGTTATGAGTTACAAAATTTACTAATTTTAAGTATTAATGTTGTGCATTTGAAATATGATTGTATCGTGAAATGATAAAAGTGAACCATTCTGTGCAAGAAATTACTCATTTTGCATGTACACAATTTGCTGTTCAGGTATTTCCTTACAAACGTAACCGGATCCTCAATTTTTACTCCAGTGCCTTTATTTTATTTGATGTCAGAAGCTGACGGTGGCGGTAATCTCTGACGTGGCCATTGTTATTGATCTTCAATAGCATTTAGTTATTGATCTTTAATGACATTTAGTTATTGATGTTCAATGACATTTAGTTTTTGATCTTTAATGACATTTAGTTATTGATCTTTAATGACATTTAGTTTTTGATCTTTAATGACATTTAGTTTTTGATCTTTAATGACATTTAGTTTTTGATCTTTAATGACATTTAGTTTTTGATCTTTAATGACATTCAGTTATTGATCTTTAATGACATTCAGTTATTGATCTTTAATGACATGATTTGTTGATATTTGGTAACATTTAGTTATTGATGTTCGATAACATTCAGTTATTGATGTTCAATACCGTTTAGTTATTGATTTTTGATAACGTTTAGTTATTGATTTTTGATAACATTTAGTTATTGATACGCCTGACGTATCATTACTCTGTTAACTAGTATCTGTTATGCTCCTGTCACCCGACAGAGCGGCTCAACAAAGTAGTCGTGGCTCACGACATTTACGACAAGGACGTGACGACAGCGCAGGAGCTTTTTTCCACAGAGTTCACCCTCGTCGGGAAAGTCAAGGGTGAGTACGGCGACCTTTGGCGTGAGTATTGTCTTCATAACTGCCTCTCGTATTTAGTGATTTATCTCGTGTGAAAATACGTGTAACTTAGATACAAATCACTGTTTATATACATGGAAATATATTAATGTTAAGTCGAAATTGTTGATGAAATAACTTGTAACTTTTATTACTGTTTCTGCTTATCACTGTGAATTGCCAATGATATAATTTAGGTAACCTACATGTGTATTACGTAGAGCATTAACAGAAGTCGTTATGCTGTGATGTTTCAACACAGCTTTATGTGATTATATTGATCTCTTTTTTTTTCTAAATCTTTGTGATGTATGGAACATAAATTCCCTGTTAGAATGCCGTGAATAACTTCCTAAACGTCGATCACATATAATAGTTTATAATTAACTGATGATATATTTTGGAAATAATTGAGCTTTGCTTGAACGAGAGACCTTGCATTGAAATTTTGATAGATGGAAGGCTGAATCGCAGCGATGTTGTTGAGTTCAGGGACTGTGATGATAGTGAGGGATGTGACTGTAATGAGCAGTTACAGTCGTGCACAGCTTACACTGTGGACAGTGTGTAGTGCCTTAACCTAGTACAGTGCCAGTGCAGTGCCTGTACACTGTACTGTGCTCCAACTGAGTACAGTGCCACTTCCGTTCTTGTATAGTGCGTCACTTACCAGTGCAGTGCAGTACCCGTACAATGCTGCACCTTACTGTACCTCAGCTTAGTACAGTGCCAGTGCAGTGCCCGTACAATGCCGCACCTTACTGTACCTCAGCTTAATACAGTGCCAGTGCAGTGCCTGTACAATGCTGCACCTTACTGTACCTCAGCTTAGTACAGTGCCAGTGCAGTGCCTGTACAATGCTGCACCTTACTGTACCTCAGCTTAGTACAGTGCCAGTGCAGTGGTTGTAGAGTGCCTCGCCTGAGCACCCTCCGGTATCGCGGAGTTGGGCTGACTCCAGAGGGTTCATGCATTCACTGAGATGTCAGCCCTTGATAGATGTAGTGCATCATTTTACAAAGTATTTACTTATTTGTTCATTCTATGTTAACCTTCCTGCATTTATGATCGAAGATGTTTTAGTGGGTGGCTCCAGCCAACAAAATCTCCGTGATACTGCAGGTGGCAATCGGTCGATGATAGAATTACGAGCTTTTAACCGAAATTATTATTTATAGGCATGTTGAGTTTGGATAGAATTATTCAATAATGTGCATGGTTTTCCAATCATATTTAATAGGAACATGAAGATTCTACATACTTCTGGTGAAGTTTTTGTTAAGAATCATTTTATGTTCTTTAAGAGAGATTTTCTTTGTAGACCAATATACCATTTAAGTAATTTTTTCACCTCTCCCAATTTTCAACTCTGAAACAGAGGCAGAAAAAGACGAGCTGGCAGAAGTTTTGGGAAATCAATCTGAAGATAATGCCGGCAAGCCCGAGCCTAGCGCTGCAAAGGCGGACCGAAGTGACACCCAGAAAGTGACTAGCGTTGGTGGTAGTAAGCGAGGTGCTAAGAACAATAGACGTGCCCGCAAAAGTGTCAGTGATGAAAGTTCTAGTTCCTCTTCTTCTTCATCATCGAGTGACGAGGTGTCTCTGCGGGATGAGAATCGTAGTGCAAAGAAAAGTGGTGCTAGATCACGATCGCGGTCACGTCACTCGAACAAGTCGCGGTCACGTTCTCCTAAACGCAATAGAACTGATAATTCTAAGTCCTCTGAGGAGGCTTCTGCTGCAGTGCTGTCAGACAAGTAAGTGATGGGGAGGTAATTTATTTATTGCAAAGCCTCGCCATTGAAGGTCGCTATGAGACGCTCCCTTCGGTGCCTCAGCTTTCAGTTGAAGGAGGGTGTGAGGTTTGATTATTAGTTCGTCAGTGAGAACTTTACTGGAAATTGATTGATGATTAATTATGTTAAGTAAAAAGTTATATAATACCGGTATGTAATAGTATGAAATATATTACATGTGCATCACAACACATTCATTCGTGTTGCCAAATTCATCTTATACACAGAAAGCACTGAGTATATTGTGTGCCTTCTAAATAGAGTAAGTAGTAAATAGTTAATCACAACAATGGTCTAATATTCGTCGCAAGAAAGTATTCTTGTTAGTCAACTAATCTAATTATCCAAACGCACGATTGAGTCTTCAGAATATTTGTAGACGATTTCAATCGGTGAGGCTGCAATTGAAATTTTGCATATTCTTCATCTTGAAATGAACGTTCCTCGTCTGAATTGATCCGGCGCAGGTTTTTTTTTATATTTAAATTTAGGTTGGATGTGGAAACTTATTTCGATTTACATTTGTGCAAGGTTTGAGGTTTGCATTGATTAGCTCCAGTCTTTTTAGCCCATTTTCTAATTTATGGAAAAAAGGCGCATTTGTGCTCGTCATGTCCGTCCGTCCGTGACTTTACGGACGGACGGACGAGAAAATGAGCTCTCTATCACAGTATCACTCACTGCATGCTGTGAGTACTGATCTAATTTTTTTTTGTATTGAACTGAAAATTTTATAGCATCCTACTTCCTTCTCTAACCTTAGGCAATACCGGTTTTTTGTAGCATTTACATTGACTGAATGAATCAGTAAATTATTAATGATATTTAGTGATGATGTCGGAAGAATTTGGTGTCGGATAATTCTAATTTTACCTATGTAATTTGCTTCGCTTTGAAGTTATATTTACGAGACCAACTTAAAAACCAGGAACGTGTAATCATTCACTGCTAATCACATTGATTGCATAATATGTGTTGTTCTCTCTATTTTAGTTCTCAGTTATTTTTTTCATAGATGTCGGTGCATATTGATCTGTTAGTTTTCTCACGAATGCAGGTGCCTAAGATCAGTTAGTTTTCTCACGAATGCCTGTGCCTATTAATCAGTTACTTTCCTCACGAATGCCGATGCCTATTGATCAGTTTCTCGTGTATGCCGGTGCCTATTGATCAATTAATTCCCTCCTGGAAATCTTGACCGCTGTGTGTTGTGTTTGTGTTCATTAATATAATGTTTGGCAGGCCGACGCTGACGCCGCAGCAGTTCCTGGCTGAGGAGAAGGCGCTACGGGCGGAACATGAGCAGGAGTACAGCGTGTTCAAGGAGGTGCCAGAGATGCATCCTGAATACGAGGCTAAGTACGAACAGTTCATTACGTGCTACAGGGAGCGCATGGCGGGGACTGAGGGGGACCAAGATCTGGAGGAGAGCGTTTGGTCAGCTTTTTGGGAGAGCGAATTGGAGAAAACCAAAAACGAAGCATGGCAGCAGAAACGAAAGCAGTTGGTTAACAAGTACAAAGAGGTTTTGAATAAAAAGAAACCCCTCAAAACTGCTATGTCTGATCATCATTTGGTTGTTCCTTCAACTTCAACTTCTCAAGCTTTTCTTGATGTTGGTGGTTCAATGCCTTCAGATTCGGTGTTGATGCAAAGTTTAGCTTTTACAAAAGAGGACGTCGCTAGGCTGACAGCCACGAAATCTACATCAGCAGTTCCCCCTGCACTAGAAGCACCACCAAGTACAGGGTCCTCCATCAGGGAGACTTATGCTGCTCTAGGAGATCTTTGTGGTCCTCTTGGTATCCTAGGAACAGCACTCAAAGGCCTTCTCACAATGGCCAAAGATTGTGGTTACGACACACCTGAAGCGCTGAAGATATTTACCGACCCCGACAACGTGACTCTCATCAAGATGATTACAGAAAAATGGAGAACGCAACTAAAAACTGCTTCTCATTCGTCGAGCGAAAAATTGCGCAAGGGAATCGCGGCTGCAGAAAAACTCCTTAAAGAAGCCGATAAGCCTGCGCGAGTGTCGCCGCCGAAAATGTCAAGATCTCCTCCTGCTCCGGGCGTTTCGGCTCCAGGGAAGATTATTATGGACGATATCGATATGGATCTCATTGCTAAGGCTACCCTTGGTAAAAATCCTGGCGAAATTCTAAATTTCATCAATAACACTCTCGCCTATGAAGGGAAAACTGCCAATAACGAAGAACTAACTGCCATCTATCTATCAATATCTGCCCTGCACATGAGCATGTCATTGCCGACTCGTGCGTCGCCGCCGACCATACCATCTGCCCCATCAAAGTCGTATCCTCCTTACACGTCTACTTCGCCCGTCGCGTCACCCGTCGTGTCCTACAGCAGCACTAGGGCGTCTGGTACCTCCGGGTATTCTCACAGACAGCCATCATATTCTGAAGAATCTTATGCCTCATCACTTTCTATGCCATTAAACTTGCCTTCAAGTTCTCAAACGGCCAACGCAATTCTGATGGCGTCGATGTCTGAAAGCCTCACCGATCCCTACTTACCAGGATTACCTCCTCGAGATGCTCCTTCCCCCCGCAGTGCTTACAGTACCACATCCTCGGCCGCGTATACCAACATTGCCACACACTTAACAACCTCTGTCACTCCTGTCGCTCCCTCGCACACATCTACGTCCTCATACAACAACAGCGCGACGCAGGCTCAGGGTAAACGGCCGTCGCCTGCAGTGGTAGTTGATTCCGCCGACGATTCATGGTTCGTCCAGGAAGTCAAGACTGCTCTTAGCGACCCCCAGATCACAATTGAAATGTTCAATAAACAATTAGCTACCATATTCGTGAAGAAACCTCGCAATTACAAGTTTTCTGCGAGCGATCTAAATCTTGCTAGTGAATTACAACAGCTAGGCACCTCTAACTACTCTGGTGAAGCGTTCATTTCTGCGCTTAAAAAAATTTTAAATGTATAAGATAGACATTGTTGGCAGTGACGATGGTCTAGTGTTAATGTCTTAGCAACATTTTATTTTAACCTATAGTAGGAACGTGTATTGTGCTAAAAATGGTTTGTGTGTACATCTAAATAATTAGAAATGAAACTAAATAAATTTGTATGCTTGCAAATCTTACACAGCCGTCTACCTCCTCCGGAGTTTATATGCGTTTGGTTGTACTTGTTTGTTATTTACAAGGTTCATTCTCATTACAATCAACCCATTATTTATTTACTTCACTGTTAATGCTGTGCGTTATGATAAATAATTCCTATTTGTCATATTTCCAACTATCATAATCCAACTCATATATTTATCATCGCAGTTGCTATGCCTACAATGCATTGACAATTTTAAAGCTGTGTTCATTACTCATCGGCTAATTTTTTTTCATCATAGATTTAAATAACATAAATAACTCAAATAAATTTATTACTTTTCCCGTCTTGTCCACTGCTGCTGTGGTACGTTCCGAATTCCATGACGCCACCACACCTGTTGCACACGAGTTCTTCATAAATTGTACACTATCTCTGGTTTTATTTCACATAGCGCCATTTCCGTTAGTATTTCTTTGTTCCTATCATGGATTTTGACAATTGACTAAGTAAAAGCTCGCTGTCATCTGCTATAAAAAAAATTTATATTATTTGTTTTCTAATATCGAATGGATAAATTTTGGTTTATCCATATTTTGGGCTAGCGATCTCACTCTTCACTCTCATGCAGTTTCTTCTCTTTTGTGAAGTGCTTGTGACAAACAAGTGTCACAAATAATATGGTTGGGAGTGACATTCGAAACGTGCAGTCGTGCACTGCCTCAATACTCGGTTGATTAATTTGTGAAGAATGTGGAGCAAATTGCAACAGATGTTAATGTAATGTTATTTATTAAGCATACCACATTCATAGGACTCAAAACTGAGAGAGACGTTTTCTGCACTCGTCTTTCGTCTTGGGAAGTAACGTAACACATTCATGCCACTTGAGATCGAAACGTTCGCTGCACTCCTGTCAGGAATGTAAACATATTCATGCCAACTGAGAGGGAAACGTCCACTGCACTCGTTTCGTGCATTTAGAGGAAACTATTATTATTACCGTCAATGAAACTCAAGTTGCAAAAGGATAGTTTTTTCCAGGCAAACAAAAACACCCTCTCGTAAATACACGATCAAATAGAACTTTCTTGTAGCACCTAATAAGTTTTTTCGAATTTATTGTAACGCAAAAAAGTTTAATTTTACCATTTATAATTATGATATATTTGTGAGAGTGTTTATTATTAGGCCATGTGTGGCCTGTAGCGAATTCCAAACTTTGCAGAAACTTCAACGCTAGCTGCGCATCTCAACTCGCTTCTCTAATCTTAATGATATTCACCAAGCGCCTACCCCGAGCATCTTTATGCAATTATTGAAGGGCAGCAAGGTGAGTGCAGTGGCTGCTGCTGAGAGGTGAATTTTGTATCGTTAGCTTCTAGGAGTTATTGGGGAGAATGACTAATATTGAAGACCACAATATTGTTTAGTATTTTTTATAGTTCCGAATAGTTTAAGACATACCTCGCGATGTCGAATGGCGGAGCGACAAAATAGATATTTTTTATGATGTCATGTATGATATACTTCAATATGGGCTGAAAAATCGACTTGCCACACGCTCCTCACGAGACTACTTGAACACTTGTATCATTGATACCTAACTTTAAATATGCTATTGAGAGTTGAAGCATGAATTAAGCAATGTTATCTTCGATACCATATCTCGTTGTACGATAAGAAGCTTCCAACGAACGTACTTTTGAAAATATACATGTATTTGAACTGAGTTTATGTAATATTTTTATAGTATATATGTGCTTCAGATTTTCTTAGGGTCAAGTGGAATAGCTCGTAATTTAATGTTCATAGGGTTTTAAGCAAACTGCTTCCAGGATATGATCCTAGCTCTCGTGAGGCGTGATTCGTGAATGCGAGTGGAGCGAACGTTCCCGACACCTGTTATCGCAACACCGAACGTTCTCGCGTCAGTTGTACGTATATAAAATAATAGCTAACGGTTTGGAGGTTGTTACTTGGTTCACGAGTTCCGTGCGGTGTAGTGCACAATTGAGAATTGTGACAAACCTCCGATTTTTTAGAATCAGTTCATTATTAATTTCCTCGTTCTGGTAAAACAAATGCATCATTACAATAGAGTCAATAAGCTAATAAATGGCAATAATTCAGATATTTCAGAAGTTAATGAGAAGCAGTTAAGTTTACGCTAATAAAAGCTTATGGCTCACCTTAATCAATTAAGATTAAGTGCACATACTGCGTAGTGCTTACAGACGTAGAAATCAATTGTAGTAATTAATAATTAAATTTAATTTAACGCGCGGCAGTTCCGAGCATAAATATAGGTCACCTTAGTATAGAGAATGACCACCTTGGCCAGTCAAGGTATTAATTTTAAGGTTTAAAGTTTAGAGGTTAATAGTTAAAGTTTAAAGTTTTAAGGTTTCAAGTCAAATAGGCAATTTGACGAGCTGGCCAAAGTGTCAAAAGAAGTGAAAAAACGCATGCACCCCAAAACTGAAATTTAAACAAATCAAAGGTTGTGCACAACAAATTAACACCATTCATTTAGAGAATTTAGGAAACTAAGGTAACATTAAGCACGTAGTGGAACAGAACACGACCGCGCAGTTAAGAGTTTACAAAATTAAGCTTCTACGAGAGCAGCGACTCAGCCTTATATGGACTGAGCCCATTCTGCTTCTTCGCCGTAGTCTTTCCAGAAGTCCGGATCGGAAATTTCCCGAACAAATAAGGGACACTTGAAATAAAACTCAACTTCAAAACGTTTGAAGCATGCAAAGTGTGCTTATCCATTACTAACAGACTTAACAGTAGTACTCTGAAGTCTTCCTATGTAGATGTTAAATAAATGACATTTTCTGTGATTTTTACTTGTTATCTGTGACATTCAATTTCTAGGTAGGCTACCTAGGTCTATGCACAGTTTGAGTTTGGTGATGACCTTGACCGATGATCATAAATTTATGATGCGCAAATTTTTTGTCAAGGGAATTTTTTTTGCTGAGCGAGATAAACTAATAAAAATTCTTTGTTGTTAATTGATTTTCTTTTGTTTACTTGAGCCTTTGAGTTTGCTAACCAAGGCTCTAGTCTCTATAGCCTACTGTAATTTCTGTACCTATGGTGTTTTCAGGGCCATCAGGGCTGGGGTGTCCCTTATTAGCCTAAGCCTACCTACCCAGGCTACCCTGGGGCCTGGGCCTGGGGCCCTGGCCTGGGGCAGGTGTCCCTTATACTTATAGGAATAGGCTTATTACCCCGTCGTGCGGAATTGGCTGCCATTTTTGTTTGTAGTGAGATAAGCTAATTCCATTAATCACACGTTTAAGTTAACACCTGTTTGCAACTTTTATGTAGGCTACCGTAAAATGGGGTAACTTAGACCACTTTTTTTCTTATAAATGATGCCATTTTCTTACTAGCTAAATTAAACTTGAATTGAAACATGCAAAATACAGGTCTATACTCTAGCTTCACTCACCATAAATTGCTGGCTCCTGCCTCTCATAGTCTTTATGTAATTTCAAAAAAAGTGATGGTCTTTGTTACCCCAGCTCTTGGGGTAACTTAGACCGGGTGGTAAAATCAATTATATTTTTTGGTAAAATAACTCCAAATAACTCCAGGTTTTGGTGCATTGTAGTAGAACTCTTCTAGTTACATATGCAAATGACAAACTTGAGGAAAGTGTCATAGTTTGCAAATGGGGGGCGCCGCCCCATAATGAGGGAAATGTGACTACCTAATGGCAGCCCTGATGGGGTAATATTGACTGGCTTGGAAATTAAGTTAAAATTACCATATATAAGACTCTGTAGAGTCTGAAACATAAAGAAAAAACATAAATAGGCTGTCAAACATAAAATATGTTATATATGGTAATTTTATATTAACTTCCAAGCCGGTCTATGTTACCCCGTCAGGGCTGACATTAGGTGGTCTAAGTTACCCCATTTGGGGGCGGCGCCCCCCATTTGCAAACTATGACACTTTCCTAAAATTTGTCATTTGCATATGTAACTAGAAGAGTTCTACTACAATGCATCAAAACCTGGAGTTATTTAACCAAAAAATAAAAAAATTGGAGGGGGTACTCTGACAGGCTTTAAATAATAGCTTTTTTTCGTGGGTCACATTTTTAATTTTTTAACCTATTAGATATGCAAACTTTTTAAATCTTTCTATTGTGTTATGTAGCCTCAGTATTAGGCCTTTAATGCCCATTGACAAAATTTTTCTATGTCAAATAGTTTTTGAGTTGTGGGCGTTTTTGTACAAAAAACGAAAAGTGGTCTAAGTTACCCCGCCGGTCTACGTTACCCCATTTTACGGTACCTAAGTAAAATTTTTTACTACGGAGAATATTTTTTGCTACCAACCTTAGCAGAGGTACTTTTCCAAAATCTCACTTTTCACACTTTTTTCAAGGATTTTTTAGAGGTAGCTTACTAAGCCTAGTACTGTACCTAAATGTATGATTTCTTAACTTACTTTACTTTAGCTATGCTACATAGATAGGATAAAATGTTGAACTTGGCATATTTTTTGTTGTGCAATATTTTAATTAGTTCAGCTGTTAGAACATTTCTATGAAATGTCAGAGGACAGTCCTCAGAGGTCTGAGGACTGTCTATCCCTTATTACCTCGGCCAGCCCTTATTACCGCTTTTGACGGTATGTATGAATATGATATTGATAATGCTGGTAGTGGACAGTGGTATCCATGGACCATGATAGGTACCTAGTACTTAACTCAGTTAACTGGCTTACTTAATAAGGGCTTATAGCCTTATAAGTTATAGGACTCAAAAATGAACTGGAGAAATTGTCTAATTCTGTCCTTGATCAGTCTTAACTTGAAATTTATCTATATAGTATATATTTAGCAGAACCCCAATCTTAAGTCTAGACTCTAGACTGTGCCAGGTGCCCTGTGAATATGTATAGTTGATAAGGACATAAGGTTAAGGTGAATGCATCAGTTGTGGTCCTCAATAATTTAGTGTGAACATAAAGTCAGTGTTACTATAATAACTATATGACCTAATGACATAGACTCACATAGTTGATGTAAATTTTCATGTTAATGCTATTAGTGTTATGAAATAAAAATTCTAAATCCTAGATTATTCCAGATTTTAAATTTAACAATTGTAAATAATATGTAAATTGTAACCCATTTCAAGATCATTTTTGAGTCCTATAAGTAGACCAGTAGAAGTAAAGTATCACGGATACCAGCTTATCATCATATAATGCAGAAGAAATTAGTTTAACTTTAAATCTTGACCTTGGCTTGCATTGATGTGGAAATTCAAAGTGAACTACAGTAATTCTAAAAAATCTGTGGTGTGTCACTATGACTGTAGGTGCTTGTACACGTGGAATACCCTGTTTGGTGGTAGCATTGAATACGAGGCAGAAGCTAAAATAAAAAATATCTAATCATGTAAAATATGTAGAGTTGTTACTACTACTGTCAAAATTGTTTTGATTATCCGAGATGAATGAGACTCGGGTTATCATTAATTTAAACTACAGCAGATTTTACATTAGGCTGCTAAGTCAATGAATATACTTGAAGGTAAAAATGTAATGAAGATAAGTTTAAAGACTTAAGGTGATGCCTTAAAATTTCTTGACAGATGCAACCTTGCTAACATCTTGCATACTCAAACCCTTGTTCAGAACTGAGGATACCTAATTTTTATAGTGATATATTAATGTAACGTGGACTGTAAGGTACTCTTTGTACTGTGCATTCTGCACATAACCTAATTCTGAGCAAGTGAGCATTCCATCTGCATGACAGTTAAAAGGATTGTATTTTTTCATGTTGCGAGGAAAAGCTTTATTTTTATGTGTCTGAAAAAGGATATGGTGTGGCAAAAAATGGGGCTTCTCAATGTTATATTTATGAAGTAATCTTATGGGTTGGAATTGGTGCATGGGTTACACTTTAAATTGTAATGATCAAATGGTCTTCAGGGAGACTTTTGCTAAGGTATATATAATCTCATATATTTTGTTTGCTACTAAATTTTTGCTTACATTTCTGAACAGATTCCAGTATAGGGGATTTTTCAATCAAAAATATAAATTGAATTACCTTGGCTCTCATGGCTTTAGAATATTCCTGTTGAAATACTAATATCTAGAACTCAATTAAATCTTTATACATCTTGTGAAGCTTTTTTCTAAAATTTCATAACTGCAGGTTAGTTAGTCTGTGCACAATATGGCAGCAAGTCCCTGCAGCCTGCAGAGTGGGACAGCATTTAGATACCTTGAGGTGATCACACGATGCCCGCTAGTGAAGGTCCTCACCTCGCTCTTGTTCACAACTGGGTATGTTCTTAACAATACCTTCTATATATTTTGTAAACCACATAATTATAATGAAGTATATCTTATTTATTCCTACCAATATTCTTCTCATCAATTAATTAACTTTACTTGCTTGTGGAAATTCAAGAAATATCTTTGGATTTAATTTGAAGCATTGAAGTTTTGTGTTATTTATGTTTTCCTAATTAGTGTTAAAGTGCTCAATTGAGCTCATAGTTGCATATGATTGTAATTGCATATACAATTGCATTTTAATTTGAAGTTCCTGAATTTTTCTTAGGAATTTTACCCTAACAGCTTTTTTATCTGTATNGTACCTATTGTTTTGCCTGCGAAGCTTTTTTAGCTTATGGGCATTCACCTGGAAGCCTTGCTATTTTATTTCACGTCTCTTTTTATTTTTCATTGTAACGTGTGCTCCTGTGTGAATAAATAAATAAATCAAATCAAATCAAAATGGACACAATTTTACTATTTCAATTAATAGTCATTAGTCAATTATCTAGAATAGATGATCAATATTTTTTTTTCATTTATAAAATCAATAATGTGATGAGACATGAATAAATTAATTGCCGACCATATAGGTTGGGCCACAGCACCAGTCAGTACTCAGCATGCAGTACAGCACAATTATGTCTAACAATATTCTCTCTCTCTCCTCTTGTAGTTATGCCAAAAGCGGCGCAGAGAAGCGGGAGCTAGTGGAAGATAAATTCCGGCAGTTGGAGCAGAAGAAGCCTGGCTTGATTGCCAAATTATGGGTACGTTATTATAGTGTAGGAAAAAAGTATCCTCATCCAATATGATTTGATGTAGGTATTAAATATAGACCTTATTTGAAACCTGAATTAGGTCCAAGTTACGAAATTGAATGTAAATAATATGCGTTTAAAAATTACTTTTTAAAGACAACACTTCCAAAGAATCCAGTCTTTCCAATGTTACACATGTACAATGAATTTCCACTTTTATTATCGAATATATAAAAAAATTTAAAATTTATTTTTAAAATTTAAAATAAATTTACATTTTTCAAAATTATTTATTGTCAATTGATTCATGCATTCTCTTCGACTATACGCAAGTGTGCAAAATTTCAGTTCGATTGGACAGGTTCAGATCAGAGTTAAATATCAATGTATAAGATATGTAGCAGATACAATTATTTTTTCAATTTTTTTTAATATTAAAAAATATAATTTTATAAATCTTCAAAATTATTCATTCTTTCAATTGATTCATGCATTGTCTCCAACTTTACACTAGTGTGCAAAATTTCAGATCGATTGGAGAGGTGGAAGTGTGTTAAATATTGATTATAAGATTTGTAGCAGACAAACAAACAACAAGAAGTGAAGTTAAAGAGAAGTGTTGTAATAATAAAAATATGCTATGCAATTGAAGTTTCATAAGTGTATTGTGCAAGGGTATTAGGGTAATAAGTTATTTATCTTTACAGGATGCTCTCATTAAGTACTTCTTGAAAGAGATAGCACCTGCTCGAGGCGCCCGCCAAGTCCTCTGTCGTGATGCTTTGCTGCGCGCCGAGGTGCCCAATTCTCCTGGGTGTGAGGCAGTCATCCAGCTCCTGTTATCTGACAACGTTTTCGTGATGCAGTGTGCGCATGAAAGTTTCATCTTGATCTCGGCTCTTGTTAGAAAATTTCACAACATCAAGACGCTCATATCGTATGAGTTTTCCCTGAATTATCCATTGCTTGACTTATGTTTGCCCATGTTCCCAAATCTCACTGTTTTGAAGGCTCGTCTCAGCATGGACGATATAGATAAAACTTTAGAGGTCATACGCAGGCGAGCACCTAATCTACAAGTGATTTCCCTTCCTAAATTGAGAATGGCTTATGTATCAACAGACTCAGTGTCTCGATTTTTATTCAATGATGCTCCTTATATGGAGATTGAGAAAAAATTTGCTCTAGGGGAGAGTGTCAAAGTCTCTTTCAGCAAACTCAGATACCTGAGTCTTCCTTTCAAATTGCCAGTACATCTGGCAATGATAAGAATGACTCTGTTCTGCTACGCTGATTGCCATGTAGACTGGCTACCGGATTACAAAGACCCCGTGCGCGTTAGTGCCTTTGACTCCTTGATTTGTCCCACCATCGACTTGGTTCCTTCTCATGCTCTTCAGAGATGTGAATTACGCTTCGAGGATCTCAGATTCCCGTACATTGAAGAGATCTTTGAGAAGTGGGAAAATATCAACTCCTTGAGATTTTTACTTGGGCAGTCGTGTGTCTCAATGGACCTTGCTCTTGCTCAAAGAAAACTCGCTTCTATTTTCAGTTCCAAATCTAAACTTACATGCTTTCAGCTGATGGTCCTCTCCAGCAACGTAGACAGAGGTATTGAAGCTACTTTGAACGTCTTGAAAAAAAGTGGGCATAAAATACGTGAATTTGTTCTTGTGGATAACAACTGTTATCTCACGCATAAAGACATCATTGATTTTATTAATTGTTTCCCTGGTGTGGAGAAAATGCATCTCGAGTGCAAACCAACGTCACGTTATCATAAAGAGGCAAAAATTATTCCCTTGTCGAACCTGACCACCTTCCGTGTCCATTACAACCCAGACGACACGAGTAGCAAAACCAAGATTTCATCCATGATTATCACGGACATCCTCAAAGAGAGCCCTAATTTGATCACCCTCACGATGCCCTATGATGATTCTTTCAGAAATATTTTGCAAAAAGGCAAGATAATTCCCAGCCTGAAGAGAATAAATTTTTACATTTATTCTGCATTTCTCAATGAACCCGTTCTTCGCGAGACTTTTGAATTACTGAAACGATCAAATGTGACTGAGCTCTCCGTGCACGCACCTTATCTTATGCACCTCGGCATATCTGGTCCTCCTAAAGTGTACCGAGACAACAGCAGCGTGTTAGTTGACCTGTCCCTTATCTGCCACAACCGAGCCTTGGATGCACGTTACTTCAGCGATGAGCTGAAGTTACCATACTGTTAGATTACCGTTGCTCGTAGTGGTGAATGCGCATCCCGATCTGGCGAGACTGGAGAGAGCTTACGGCGATCAGCTCAACATGTTGATCGCAATTAATCATGTCGGATTTAAGAATGGAATGACTGGTTCTAATTCTAATTTGTGGTATCTTATCTTATTCTAAGTATCTTATTCTAATTTACATTGTAAGCAAACTATGTTCCATAGGTGATTTTGGATAGTTTACTGCTCAAATTGTTTCAAGAGATATCGTTTGTTCAGTAACGTTATACGCTCCCGGATCGTGCCTTTTAGCCACTTCTGACCGTGTCGGCAATGGCGTTCGTTGCAGAGCCTCGCTTATTTAACTGAATGCTTAACTCATTTAGTATGTATCCCTGCTCCTAATTATTATGCCTCTCAAGAGCCCGCTGCATACTTGGTCTTTTTTTCTTAGCTGTGATTTTATAACTTGGAGATGCTAAAATAATAATTTTAACAAATATTCCACGTTTAAAATTACCTATTAGTTTTCCAACAAAACAAATTACTTAAAGGTAATTAAAAAGACCTTCGTAAAGCAACCATGTTTATTAGAAAGTAAGAAAAAATAAGCGGTAAATATATACTTTGAGGTGAGAAACTATCAACTACCAATTTCATGTACAAATAAGTACGTAATTGTTTTCTTACGAACGAAACTACACCCCCACGTTCTTTCTACGAGAAAACGTTTTGACTTTTGACCCACTGAAGTTGAAGTGAAAATCGAATTTTTCCTTTAGTTACTGAAGCATAGGTTGTTAGTAATAAAAACGGAATACAAACAGCTCATGCTCAAGAAAGTTAGTTCTACCTTTTTATAGTCAATAACTTAACTAGCCTACTTAAACAACCCCGCTTGTAGTATCCTAATAGCGGACAACACATGCTCGCCACCAGCGGCGTAAGGCACGAGAGAAACTTTCTGACCGCAGCGGATCAAGTATCATAAATAAAATAAATAGGTTCAAGAAACGGAATTGTAGGTCACCTTCAATGACAAAGAAGAATTTAAGGATACACGTGTGAAGAAGATGATCATATATATGTGCAAAATGTTGGTTAGGAATGTATCTTTGAGTGGCCGCAGCAATGTCGAGTCTGGTATGCTAGCATCTTCACTTTCGTCCCATAATATTATTATAAATTTTGTCACGACCTCCATGCTCTGCATGAATCTCATTTAGTAACCTAGCTCGAGACGGTAGAGGATGTGTGTTTACATTATGTGGCCAAGGCTCACAACCTAAGCAATTATCACAAAACACGTCCCAGATATAACAAGTGAATTTAATTTATACGAGGAAACATCAATACCTTTTGAGACTTTCTTTACTACTAAAATATATCGAATTAGAAGCTGAATAAATGTTTTGGGAAGGCAACAGAAGCGAGCCTCACTGGTCCTCCAGGTCCTTGGCGCCGTGCTTGAGGATGCGCGTGAACTCCACGTAGTCGAACATGGAGTTCTTGATGGGCGCCTCCCGGTACATCTCGTCCACCTGCTCGTGATAATCTCGTCACAAACTAGCCTATTTTTTTTAACTAACACGAACCTTATATAGAAATGGTGATAATTTCGTCACAAACTAGCCTATTTTATGAACTAACACGAACTTCATAGAGAAATGGTGATAATCTCGTCGCAAACTAGCCTATTTTGTCAACTAACACGAACCTCATAGAGAAATGGTGATAATCTCGTTACAAACTAGCCTATTTTGTCAACTAAAACGGACCTCATAGAGGAATGGTGATAATCTCGTTACAAACTAGCCTATTTAGTCAACTAACACGAACCTTATAGAAAAACGGTGAAAAATAAATATGAAATAAGGGAAAGATGTTGGCCCATGGACAAGGTGAAAGATGGATAGGAATTTGAGATAATTTCGGCGTAGGTGCACATATTCCAGTAAATGAGAAACGTGTTGCGGAACAACCATTTTAAATGCAATGAATACTATATTAAAATGAACGCACGCAATTATATATAACGAAATCAAGTACTGACAAAGATTTCAACTAGAAATGTAGCAACTTTAAAATTATATAACACAAGCAATTGAAAAAAGAATATTGTGAGTAAAAAGTAATAACATGAACAGAACTGACGTCCTCATCGGTGAAGCGGTCCCCCATGGATGTGAGCAGCTCACGCAGAAGCTCTTCGTTGATGTAACCTGAGTTGTTCTCGTCAAAGCAGCCAAATGCGTTCTTGATCACATCCTCGGGGTCAGTGCCCTGGTGCAAACAGTGCCGTTAACATCAATGGAATGGAAAACTACAATATTTGTTCCAAATTACTTGGGTACCTACTCACCTGCGCTGTACTAGCGTCTTGACTATAGAATCTTTTCACGCCACGCCACACATAATGTAATCTTGCATACAGTCAAAATATTAGTATCGATTTTAGAGATGCGGATTCAAATCCAAGCAAGATTAGACATTTTGTGATAACCAAAATGTAATATTGCATTGCTAATGGGGTGGGATTTTAATTTCCATCTAATTAGTTGCACTGTAAAATATCAACAATCGATCAACATCCTAGCGCGTCGGCACCTGTAACCTGTTGCTGACCCTGTCTCTTTACATTAATAATATGTCTTTTTGACAATGGTGCCAGTGGGTCTGTCTGCTCGGCACTGCCTACCACGTGAACTCCCGTGCCATTTCATTGGTTAGACCAACTTCTGTGTTGTACAAGACTCTACCATGGCTTCCACTGTGGCTGATGCCACAACATCACTCCAAAGGGGTACTTTAACCCACAAGCTTTTCCTAATGTTTGTGTCAATTGAAAATGAAACAAATTTGTGTAAATCCTGGCATTGGATGTGAACTTGCTAGTAACTAACTAGCAAGTACTAGGTTACAACTAGCAAGTACTAGGTTATTTTTGTATTCAAACTTAACTAATTTTGGACATTTTTATGAAAGGGACAAGCTTTAATTCACAACTTCATATTGATTCATGCATTTCAAGAAAGCAAATAATGCGCTAATATCTCAACCAGACCACAGGATATTACAAATGATAGTTTGTCAAGCAAAAGGCAGCATAACTTATGTAATGTCTTAATATTCATATTCACTTACTTGGAGTCTCTCCCCAAAAAGAGTCAGGAACATGGTGAAGTTTTTTTTGACGTCTCGGAAAAATTTACGACCAGACTTATGGCCGGTCTCGCGGCCAAATTCAATCATCAATGAATATCTTCCAAACTAATGAACGCAGCTCGATGAAACTTGGAACACGTATTTATTAGGACCTAACGGTGATGCATAATAATACGGTGAGTATCTACCGTAATATTATGAATGAATATTTAGCTCGTGAAATTTTTAAATTTCACCTTCATTCGTGAGTTATATACGGGCCGAAATTCGCAGTAATCAAATAACTTCTTCCAAGCTACTGAACAGATTCGAACAAAATTTTAAATATACATGCCTAACTACCAAACGGTGATATTAAACTCGTGACAATTTTTTTCGATTTTGCCTTCGTTTGCGAGTTATACGTATATACGTCAGCACTTGGTTAAACCGGCCTGTAGTTTCTCTGTACATCCGTAGAACTCGCGAACAAAGGCCAAATAGAAAAAAAATTGTCACAAGCTTAATATCACTATTATGAGGTTAGGTATTTATATACAATATTTCGTTCAAATATCTTCAGTAGTTTAGAAGAGATTTCTTGATCACTGTGAATTAAATCTTAGTTCTACCATTCGTGATTCGTGTTTGATCACGAATGAAGGTGGAATGAAAAAAAAACTCAAGAACAAAGGCAAAATCGAAAAATTTTTCACGAACTAAACATCACTGTTTGGTATTTAGGAATGTATAATCAAAATTTCGTTCAAATTTGTTCAGTAATTTGGAAGAAATTCCTTGATCACTGCGAATTCCGGGCCGTATCGCAATATAGCTCCCGAATGAAGTGGAAATAAAAAAATTTTCAGGAGCTAAACATCACCGTCAAGTCCTAATGAATACGTGTACCAAGTTTCATCGAGTTACATACATTAGTTTGGGAGATATACCTTGATCATTGAATTTGGAAATTGGCGGTGAGACCGGCCGTAAATTTGTCCGAGATGTAAATCCCAGAGAGGTTAAAATACCCAGATCTGGGTGGAAAAACCTATTTCTGGGAGTCGCGTGCTGCACGTGATGTGTACAAATCGTGAAACAAATGTTTTAACTTATGACTTCGACTTCGGACTGCCGCCCCCCTAACTGCTCCCTTCTCCCTCACCGCCCCCCCCCCAGATCTTTCCACCGCCCTTAGGGGAGCGGTACCGCCCACTTTGGGAACCACTGGGTTAAATCAACTTCTGTGTTGTACAAGACTGATCCATGGCTTCCACGGTGGCTGATGCCACAACATCACTCCAAAAGGCACTTTAACCACCAAGCTTTTCCTTATGTTTGCGTAAATTGAATGGGACACAAACGTGTGTAAGTCCTGGCATCAGAAGTGAACTTGCCAGTAACTAACTAGCATGTACTAGGTTATTTTTGTACTTAAACTAAACTAACTTTGGACATTTTCATGAATTGGACAAGCTTTAATTCACAACTTCATATTGATTCATGCATTTTAAAAAAGCAAATAATGCGCTAATATCTCAACCAGGCCACAGGATATTACAAATGACAGTTTGCCAATCAAAAGAAAGCATAACTTATGTAATGTCTTAATATTCATATTCACTTACTTGGAGTCTCTCCCCAAAAAGAGTCAGGAACATGGTGAAGTTAATAGGACCTGGAGCCTCATTCATCATGCTTTCCAGGTAGTCATCCTTCGGGTCCTTGCCTGGAAAAAATAACAATAAACTTACAAATTTCAATAATTGAGGTACTGCATTGCAGTAAAGAATCTTGACGCAAGAGTTAATTTATTATACTAAGAACTTATTGCTTTAAATCACTTGCTTGCTAATTCCCAAGAGAAAAAAAACATACAAAACATAAGAGTTCAAATTTAACATTTACTGAACTGCTGTTTGTGAGTATCTGGATTTGAAAATTTTATTACCTCATCCCTGAAAACATCACAGTTCTTGAATATAAAGCAAAAGTGGCAGGGAATCTTACCTAGAGATGCCAGCATGTCATGAAGATCATCCTTATCAATGAAACCATCTCTGTTTTGGTCAATCATATTAAAAGCTTCCTTAAATTCCTGGATCTGAGCCTGATCAAACATGGCAAAGACATTGCTGGTTGCACGCTGGGCGCGTTTCTTAACCGTCTTCTTTCCAGCTTTGCGGGATGACATGTTTAAGGTTTAGGATGGTGATATTAAAAAAAATATTTAGGTACCTGTAGACAGTGGAGTTGGAGGTTAGACAAGTTTTAGTTGGGGGTTTGAAAAAGTTTATCATATACCGGTACCCTAGTACAAAGAGAAATAATACTAATCCCATATCACTCACTATGACTTTCAAAACAAACTCATCCTCTACTAAACTTTTGAACTTGAAACATGAAAAAAATTGAACCAACCTAAACTATTACCTACCAATGGAAATGTTGAAATAGAGCATGCAATTTTAAATTAATTTACTCACACAAAAAGTTACAAAGAGATTTCAAAATTTTTGGGATTAAGAGGAACCTTGCCAAACCTTAAGCTGAAAAATTATAACCTACCTTAACAGAAAATAGTACATACAGGTACTTGAAGCTAAAATTCTTGAAGACACAATGGCAAATGTAAACTGCTAATTTATAATAATGAAATCCTTATTTACATCAATGTACACAGTGTCATGCCTGTCTCTTATACACATCTAGATGTGTATAAGAGACAGACACGAACCTTATATAGAAATGGTGATAAT